TTGAGGTCACCAGGTCAAAGGTCAAGGTCACAGGGACTTTGACTTCAAAAAGTTTGTCTGCCAAATAACTTTAGATTCCTTTGACCCACAGTCTTCATATTTGGCATGGATGTTGATCATGATTAGTAGATGACCCCTTTTGATTTTGAGGTCACTGGATCAAAGGTCAAGGTCATAGGGACTTTGACTTCAAAAAGTTTGTCCACCCATTAACTTAAGATTCCTTTGACCCACAGTCTTCATATTTGGCATGGATGTTGATCATGACTATAAGGTGACCCCTATTGATTTTGAGGTCACTGGGTCAAAGGTCAAGGTCACAGGGACCTTGACAAAAAAAAGCTTTTCTTCTCAATTGCTAAAGAATGTCCTGTCCGCAATGTATTGATTTTGACATTTTCACATTTGAAGCATGTAGAATACATAACTTAGCAATGCACTGGCTTAGTAATCTCAGATTTGGCAGGGAGGTTGTCCTTGAGCTCTAAATGGCCACTGTTGATTCTGACAAAGTGGTATGCGGGGGTATTCACGCCATGATAGTGGCAGTTCTAGTTACTCCTAATGTTTATATTAACGGAAAGGATTTGTCTTTCATGGAATATTTATGTTTATTAATTAATTTTGTTTAAATTTTCTGTCAGGTACATCATGGCAATATTTTTCATGTTTGATTTTCATGGATTTTCTGCTATGTGGGAGATTTCAACGAATGTTTGAAGCCTAGTTTTTCCATTTAAGCTGGATTTTGTTTTATTGTTCATGTATTTGATATAAAATAATGGTTTTCTGTTCTTTTTTTATTTTGCTTAACAGTATGTTTAGGTCATAAAAAGTGTACCGGTATACATGTTGTAAACAAAATGGATTGGTGATTCATATGAAACTGTGATTTTGACATTTAAATATCTGGACTGACATTTTAATCTTTTTTAATTTTAACTGTACAAGAGTGTTTGACCACTGCTGTACTGCTCTGCATGTAGTTGATAGTTTTATCTTTTGCACCATTGTGTACAGGTTGAATATCATTAATTTTGCACCCAGTAATCTGGATCTGTACTCTAAGAGGATTTAATATAGAAATTAAGCACCTTTGTGGTTGTATTGTATCTTAAAGGGAGGTTGTCAAGTTTCAAAATTTTGGCAGATGTGTTGTTAAATCAATTATAGTAAATTTCCACAGAGGGAACTATTGTTATGTTGATTATAAGCTGCTGCATTATCAGAAAAATCAACTGATGCAGGTCTTAAATAACAATAATAGATGTTACAGGAAATATAATTTCTCTGATTTTTTGTGTGGTCAAAATGAACACATGCATGTCAATATTTAATAAAAGATATCTACACCGGTGAAGTTTTATCATATGAACCAAAGTGACAAATTTAACTTGACCTTTGCAGTGTGATTTCCTTTTCTAGTCAAGATGAAAACATGCATGCCAATATTTGATTAAGATGGCTGCACCAGTGAAGTTTTTTACTATTTGATTTTAAAATTCAACGAAAGTTACAAACTAAACTTCCTTTGCAGTGGGATTTTCTTTTTCTAGATCAAGATTTCAGTTTTTCTGTCCCCCAGATATTGAAAACCTCCCTTTAATATATGGGTTACCATCTCCCTTTAATGATTGAGTTTGTGAATGGATGATGCTGCAGGTTTTAGTTGTGGAACGTTGTTTTTAAAAACAGGGAAACATCTGTTATCTTTAGGGAGATTTTTATCACTACATTCAATTATAGTTCAAGGTGTGGCAGTTTGAATTTTTCCCAGTTGGAATATTAATGGACATTTTCTACAACCATTTGTTCACCCCCTTCCCTTGCATATCCAGCGTTTAACAACCCAGCATCAAGCTTGCAGGAGAAAATTCACCATAAAAAAAATCCAGAAATACTTGTTAAAGTGGCAAAATTTCGTGAGAAAAGGGGTCTTAATTTAATGTAGGAATTCTATTACCTTTGTTTTTGGAGGGAATATTAATGCCTGGAATGTGAAGAAGTGGAGGTTTTACTACTTTTTTTCTGATCTCTTGGAGAAGTTTATTGCCGATAAGTTGTGAGATAGAAGTTCTACTAGAACAGTTTCATGTTTTTCTATGTTTCCTTAATTGAAGGATTTATAACATATTTGATTGGATTAACAGTGAAGGGAAAATAACTGTTAGAGAAAATAATCAGCTAGTTTATATCATCAGTACATCATACCTGGGCAATACGAATAGGATAGCGTTGTCTTTAACTGCAGGAATCATAGGGGAAATTAGAGAGCTACAGATGTTAGAGATGGTCTAATTAATGTGGTGGTTTTATTTCATTATAGATGTAATAGGTAGTGTCAAACGAACTTGGTGCTTTCCGTGCTTTTTGAGTACTGGTTTTGGATGTTTCTCAGTGAAGAAGAACGATTTTTGAATGATTTTATAGTGGTGTGTCAGGTGTTTCTTTTAGCAACAAAAAAGCTTCTTTATGGAAAATTATAATCAGTGTTTTCATCAACAGAACTCAAGTGCTTTGTAAAAGGCTAATTTTCCATGCTTTGAATATTTATTTTTAATGGTTCAGGAAACATGGTCATACAAAGGTCGGTGCTTAGAATATACATTATTCAACTTCTATAAATGATATAAATGATAGTAACAACGAAATTGGATAATGAAATTCTTTGTACATTTTCAATTCCTTTGAGTTACACATTGACAAAGATATGTAAATGTTTTGTTATTAGCAGTATTAAAGAATGCATAGACATGTAAATGAATTAATATCATATACAATTTATGATCCAATGATGGAGGAGTGAAGTTAAATTCTTATTCCTATATTCTTTGGATTTTATCAAAGTATTGAGGCTACATGATGTATGCTTACCAACGATGGGGAATCAGGTATGAAATTCTGTAAACAAAAATTGCAAATTGTATATGCTTTGGTATCACATGATGTACTTTTCATTTCATGTCAGATATTTGTCTGAAAAACTAGCATGTATATTTAGGTGTATGGATGATTAAGCCATACTAAACAAAAATTGTTAATTAATAACATACTTCTGCCCTTTCATTATAAGGTATACTGATTATGTTACAGTCTAGAAGTCTTGCATTTATTGTATATGTGTCCTCAATTCTGTGTGAAAAAGTATAAAAAAACAACATAAAAATGCTTTTTTCTGAAGTTCCAGGTCCGTCTTTGTTTAATGGAATTTCTTTTGCTGTGGATTTGAAACTTTCCATTCTAAGAATTAAATGATTTATATTAAAGTATAAAAGGAAGAGTTTAAAAAAGTGAGAAGTCCATACTGATATGACATTGCCCTGTTGTTGTTGTTGTTCAGTGCAATAATTTATTACGCCGGTATTGTTTTATTTTTATTTATGGCTGAATGCCCTGCATATTTCATTGTAATTTAACTATCTAAATGGAAAGTAGCCTCGTATGAACCCAATAAAACATGTCCACTGTTATAATATATGAGATGAATTTATAATTTATGTATTATATGAGTCACACATATCAAGGTGGGGGCTAAAACAATCTAGCTAAAAATGTACTGTATAATTTATATAGGTATAATTAATCTAAATGTCCATTCAACTTCAAACCTCGTAAGCAGAAGAAATCATGTATAATGTTTTAAAACTTAATTTGGAGCAAAATTCTTTAAATTATTACACCATATGAATAAGATTTTTTTAAGGACATAATAAAAATATATAATGCAATATCTTTTTACCATTTGATTATTATATACATGTTAAAATAGTATTTAATCTGTTCTTTTCCATTTTTGTTTTATTATGAAAGAAAATAAATAATTAAAATAACACTTAACAATCTATATATACAACAGCATATGCTATATTAGATATGTGATAATTTTAATAATTCAGATATTAATAATGAATAAATTGATCAGCAAATATGTTACTGTCTGAATGTAATAAAATGTTAAAGCAATTATATTTCAACTATCAATTTATAATTAAAAATATCTAAAGGACAAATAAATGACACTTTTATATAATGAAAGGAAATACCTAAAAGTGAGAAATATGCTGATTGACTTAAATAGCTATTTTATAACAATTATCACCTTTAATTGAAGATGTCATGTGATAAGTCAGGTCTAGGTGTCTGGGATGGTAGCATTGTATTGTTGGGAAAATCACTCAATCATATCTAACTATTAATAATAAAGGTTTATCAGAAAGAAAGATCAGTGATGCAGAAATAATAATGGTAAAGATATATAATTAAATATATTTAGTTATTATCATGATTTATTATCAATCGTGGTTAGGGATATAAGGATAGTGGGTATTGTTTGATAAAGGAAATACCATTTGTATCAGTCTTATTTCAAGTGTTGGGATATGAACATGCAAAATGCATTATGACTAATACGGGATTATCTCAAATGAGGGTTAAAGCATGGATTTTTCTGTTGATGTGTTAAAGATCCTGAGAAAACGTAAAAAGTCGCCCAAGTTGGATATAAAAGGATATAAAAGACGATCATTGGGTTCTCTTAACAGGAGAGGATTTTATAAAGTGTTTGTGTGTGTAATATTGTAATTATTTATTTTAAGAGGGGCTGTCACATTCTTGGGATGTGAAATAACTTTTCCATAAAGGTTTTACGGTATAATATGTTAATATAATTAATGGACATGATATCATCTAAATATAAAGGATAGGAGTATATAATTATAAAAACTATTAATATAAGATAAAATAAAATATATAATGCAGTCAAATGCTATTTTAGTCATTTTTCTGAATATCCTTAACCTGACTTGATTCAAGTATGGAACAATTGCTTTAAGCACGTTAGACAAATGATAATAAAAAAAAAATATAATAAAAAATTGAAAAATAGAAATAAACTGGAAACGGTTACCATTGTATTTATGTCATTGAAGTTGTTTCTTTTCCCCTTCAAACTATGTTTTAAGTGATCAGATGATACAATGTTTTATGATATATATTTCCAGGTGTGCTGATGACTCGTATGGTTCATACAAGACTAGAACAGCGCCGAGGGAACTAGGGAAATACAAGAGAACATCGTCCGATACCAGTTTACTGAGATCACACCAAGATTCAAAACCGTTCCGCCCACATCCTGATCTGAACAGCAGAGATGTGGCTGAGATAACACCAAATAAACCTCCGAGAAAGAAACTTGAACTTCACGGACGTAATTCACCAACACAAGGTTATCGATCCAACAGTCCTGCTTTACATGGCGTAGATAGCCAGAAACCAGCTCCTCAAGTGCCTGCATTCCAACCAGCTGAAGTAAGTACTGTACAGCATGCGCAAAAGTCTATGGCAAAGCCACTGCCACAAGTATCAGTGCAAAAATTAACTTCACCATCAAGTGTTTCAAATACGTCAGGAAGTTTTGTAAGCACAGTTGTTCAAAGGCCAGCAATGAACCAAGCACAGGAAAAGACCCTAACTGAGGAGGAATTAAGGTGTTCAGTTAAGGACCGTGTTAAAAATATTGAAGTGTTCAGTCATTCTCCAGTTTCTTCAAAAAGCCAGCGGCAATCTGGCGATCCTGCTAACAAGGGTTCAATTTCACCGGATGAGAAGGATGTTAATGCTGCCGATTCTTTAGAACAGTTGGAAAGCTCAATAAAAAGTAGTGATAGTTTTAGGGATAGATTAAGACCTGTTGTGAAAAGGGTTGACAATGATAAACCTGAACAACAGGTAACACCGGAACGAGTCAGTACAGACGCCGCAGATAGTGTTAGAGTGACACCACCAGTTGTGCCTAACCGGACATACAGACAAAAACAACCTAGTGTTCCAAATGAACCAGTGTTTAGGAAAAATTCATTCCAAAATCATAATGCGCCTAGACCCTATGAAAGTAGAAATTCTGGAAGTGCAAACATTCATAATCCATTAAATCACAATAATTATAATAACTATAAACCTGGTTCAGTGCCCGAGTCAAAAAGAAGCCCAGGTCAGTCAGTACCTGAGCCTCAGGTACCAGCACGGCCTCAGAAGCAGAACTTGGGCCCCTATAATGAACAAAATCTACGTGATCAAAATTCTAATATTCCTAGTCCAGATACAAGACTGAAACCTAATTACACTGATGAAAATGTGCAAAAAAGAGAAAATACGCAAACACCTACTTTATCTAGTGGAAATAAAAGAAACTATGAAAAATCGTTTTCAAGATCACGGACTCATTCTTCAGGCAGTTCAAATAATTCCCATAATTCAGACAGCCATCAAAGTGATAAAAATGTTGCTAATTTCCACACTAGGCTTCCAGGTAATACTCAAAGTGAGCAAAATGTGAGAGGTAACTCTCATAGGAATGACCAAAGAGGTGACTCGTTTGAACACAGACCACAGTCACATGATCATAGGTCACCAGGTCAAAGTAGAAACTCTAGTAGTGAGCTTCGTAATGTAAGGTCACATTTACATCATGTAGACAATCATGTTGCGAGTCGTAACAATAGCCAATCAGAATCCAGTTCTAGGACTAATAATTATGATGCACCATGTACTGATGTATCAAATAAATCACGAGGAAGTGTAACAAATCCTGAGAAAGATCGTCATGGTTCACATCTAGTCACAGTGAATCATGGCCGTCAACCTTCGGCAGAAGAATTGGAATGTGATCAAAAGGCCCAAGAGCTTGCTAAAGTATTAAAAGACAGTGATAAACAACTTAGTGAGGTGCTAACATCGGACAGTAAGAAAATACGTATGCAGTATTTGGATGGTTTACTTCCTGTTGACTCAGATGAAGGTCAGGAAAGACGACCTCGTTCTGGTACAAAAACAGAACCTTCGGCTGAAGAACAGAAGGACAAAACAGACAATGAGTAAGTTTGTCATAATAGTTATTTAAAAGCCGTTCTTTCATGGCATATTTTTAATGTAATACTTGTAAATTTCCAGAACAATTGCTGGTTCACTTTGTTTATTTTGTTTTTGATGTTATTTCTGCAAACTCAAATCTCACATAAAGACAAAAGTTTAAATACTATTGAATACTTTTAGAAAAGTAGGTAAAGTTTCTCATTTGCTGTTAAACTAGCTCTTTAGGTGATTAGGAGGTATTTGTATTTCTCATTAAAAGAATTACGGTAAGACAATCTGGGTAGCAATTCAGAAAGAAAAAAAAGGTTTTTATTTTTATTAATGTAAAAAATGTATGTGCTTTTTTACCAGCATCCTAATTATATAAAAAAATTTCATTTACAGACCAACATCTCCTATGCCCTCAAACTATTATGTGTCACCACCAAAAGCTATGATAGAATTAGAGATCAGAAAGTTTGGTGATCAACTTACACAAGACATAGGTGATAATGATTCCCTCGCTGAGAAAAAGGTTTGTTATATATAATCTGTTACACATCATGTTATAACAATAAAGCATTATAGTGTCTAAATTTTATTTCTATAATTGTACTTGAGGAAATACTTCATTTGTAACTGAATTATGTCGTTTATTTTATCAATTCATTTCTTTGTACAAAACCTACTTTAAAATGTGAAAGAAAAGATCAACTAGTTAACTATATAATCAAGATACCTCTGTAATTTCAGAATTATAATTTGTTACATAAATTATAAATTAAATTAAGTTTTTATTATTGATCATTTGGTTATATGGTTGGATTTTAAATCACTACACTAAAACTGTAAAAGTCAAAATTATAATGATTTTCCAGGTTTACTGCAGAAGTATTAGACCTTGGGATGCCCCTGATGGGGTACAAACTCGTTTTTTTCTTTTTATAAAGAATACCAATAGAATGTAGTGTATTATCAGGGAGGGGTAATAGTTGGACAAGTGCTGTTTAGTTAAATTACTTATTGATAAACTTGTGTATTAAATTACAGGAGGAGTTATTACAGAGTATGGTAAAGAAGGTAGATGTTCTCAAAGACGACAAGAAGGAATTGTTGATTGATATTGAAGAGAATGAATCCCTTGGAAAACAGGTATATATTAACCATTTAGCACTGGCAAAATTGTGAAGATAATTTTAAATTTGATAACATTGTTTCTGACAGTATACTTGAATATGTAATTATGTTTCATCAGATGTTGAATTTATATATTATATTTTGATTTTTTATATATAATCATAAAATGACTGAGAAATATCTTGTAATGAATAATACAAATAATTTTCCAAAGTATGCCTCTGTTAGTTGAGTTGGGATTGATCATTCATTTCAGAAGTTACTGATTCAAAACAACTTTCTTCCAAGGATAAACACCAACTATACTACTATTACTGACTGTTACTGGGGTCCGTAAGCTCAGTGCCTGAAAGGGCGGATGGATCCTCATTAAGCATAGAATACACACATACACACACAGACCTTTGCCCATGTTTTAATCTCTTTAATATTATTATTTCTTTATTTCAGGTGGCATCATACGTAGAGAAGCATTGTCGTAATCAACAAGAGAAGGACAAGTACAAGTCCTACATTGATGACATTGATAAGATTATACGTCTTCTCCTGAAACTGTCCGGTCTGCTAGCACGTGCCGAGAACACCATCCAGGGTCTGACTGAAAATACCAATGAAAAAATCAAGGTATGGTCTACTGAAATGATTCTTGTTTTTTATTTACTCCATTTATGTTGGTTATGTTAAAGGATCTGTTTTAATAATTGAATATTCGTCAGTTTTGTTCAATTTTATTTTCTATTTCTACATAATTTTATATCTCTGATCATGAGAAGTAGTTATCATTTATGTAGCAATGTGAGGAAGATCAACTCAAAATAAGGGTCTATGAAAAGTTGTATTGTTTAATTCCTTTTCATATTTGATTGTAAATTTTTTTTTAAACTGGACTAGTAACTTTATCCTGAGCCTGTTCGGAAATTAACAAATTACAGCATTACAGAAAAGTACACCAAGCAAATCTAAGTCATAAAAAACAAATTTTGACATGACTGATTTACCAAATCGACCATTGCAGACCATAATCAGTCAGCACATCCAAGCTGTCTGATAATGGTTTGTACTGTTTGCTATTCAGTCACTACATATTTTGAAATTTTCCCTATTTGTGATGAATGGTTTTATTCAGATTGAAAAATGGACACGTCCATTTGATATATTTGGTTTGGTCGAATCTTTTGAGCTTAATAGATGATAAATCTTGATAAACTTAACTTTTATATCTTACCTTTTCTTTAATCTGTTGTTGTATATTTTACAGAAAATGACGTTTGACAAGCGAGATCGTCTGTACCAGCAACACGAGGACGCGAAGGAGCTTAAGACGGATATTGATCGTCGTAGCGACCAAGTGGAGGCCATTTTACATGATTGTTTCACCGAGGCACAACTTGAAGACTATCATTATTACATTAAAATGAAGTCAAAATATACAATACAGATGCAAGAATTGGAGGATAAAATCACCCTCGGAAATGAACAAATCACTGCATTACAGAAAAGTATACCGACCAAATCTAAGTCATAGATAAGAAACGTTGATGTGACAGATTAGTGAAAAATTTACTTTTGAGAGGATACTGAAGTGTGTACGTAACATTGTAAAGAAATGAAGAATTATGTTGTGTAAGAAAAGCAACAGTAACAACAAAGAGTGACAATCTGTGATTGATACAACAATAAATAAAGTATAAAAGTGCACTTGTGTAGAAATACATAATGAATATGCAACTTGACAGCCTAATGGTGCTTTATTATGAATAATTCTTGAGTGGAAAACAACAGAAATCCTTCCATATTGTTGACCATAGAGAGTGGGTTTTTTTTTCATTCTTTTATTAACCCGTAACCTGCTATTTAGTGGATCTGTCCAGCTTTGAATTTAAAACAGTCTATTCAAAGTTCAAGGGATTTCAATATCAAAATACAAAAGTTAAGCTGCCAACTGTATAGAGCCTGGTTAGACTGCACAGATGTACAGGCTGGCGTGGCTATATACTGGTGGCAAAGTCTGATCACTTTTGGTTCCAGCAGATTAAGGGTTAAAAAGATTTTTCTGACAAGTTATCCAAGAAAGTCAAACTGTTCAGGGGATTTAATGACTTGAAAAATAATTTTTTAATGAAATTTTAAAAAATTTGAACGGCAGTTGAGTTATTTAGGGAAAGGAATGAATTTATTATTTAAGAAGGTAAAGGTTGGGGGAACAGAGTAAAGGTATTAGAAGTAAATCTTGAGGAATCCTGGTAAATATACCAAAGTCTTTCGATAAAGTAAAACCATTTCATTTATGAATCATGAGAAAAGTATAAATGAAAATGGCTTTTTTTTTTAAATATTTATTTTTGATTTTATCTTCTCCTTGATGCTTTGTGTTTATTTATTTCGAAGTCTTTATTTATCTAAATAGAGACGAATAAAGGCATTTAAGGTGAAATAGTTTTTGTGAGCACTTACTGAAGAATGTATTAAGGGAGATTGTGTTGATTAAAGACAATGGAGTAACTATATACATGATTATAGTCACAAACAATTGTGATGAGAGATACAGAAATTGGAATTTTAAGTGTAAAGGTGGAGAAAGCTGTAAGCTGCCATTTCGAAAGCTCCGTGCAAAACAGATGTAACTCCTGGAATGACAGGGTTATAATTACAATCTTTTTGCACTATGGGTTTCATTTACATGTGTACATTAGATGTAAATTACATGTTTACATTCATTGTAAGTTTCCTGTTCAATTTTTTTTTCCTACAGCTAACTTTCAATCTCCATTTTCAGTTATTGTATTATAAAAAGTGCACTGTATTAAAAACGGGACCAAGTCCCTTTAAGAAATGTTACATTTATTAATAGAGAAATGTTTATTAATATTTTTTCCTGCATTATTTTTGTTTCTTAAAATTTGACTCACATTTTTAGTTGTCAATTATTTTTGGAACGTTATTGTTTTGTATAAAATGTATATTGTTGAAAGCGTGTATGTATGTATAATTTTGTACAGTAGTAAATGGTTATTCTTTGAAAAAATAAGGGGTATTTCATAGGTTTTTACTAAAAATAAAAACTATCTACTTGTTTAGATGTGATGAAATTTTATTGTCTTACAACATGTGATAAATAACAGTGCTAATACTTTCATTTCATCTTTTTAAAGTTGTAATATTGTTTACTCAGCAATTTTTAAATGTCTAAATTTGCTTAATCAGCATTTTGCAATCAGTTGAAAATGTCTGACTGAACATCTTGTACCATAGTCTCAAATGGAATAATTATTTCATACATGTACAGTAAACTTTTTATTTATTTGACCAAAGTTTCAAAATTGAATTATTGCTTGTAAAAAAAAATGTTTTTGTTTTGGAAAAGAAAATACATGTATTTTATTTTTGACCATTTAAATATTTTGTTCACTCTAAAAAACATTCTCAAATACATTCCATGTGAAAACATTAAACCTCATATCAAGGAAATTTCTTCTCATATTTTTCAGTCTTCATATAGGTTGCATTGAAGAAGTAAATGTTTCTTTTAATTTTTGTATAAATTGCCATGCCAATGATAATTGTAAAATCAGAACATTTTACTTTTGTCATAACTATTTGTCTATACAAAAACAGCAACGTTCATCCAAATAAAAAAATTAAAATGTGTGTAATCAATTTCCATTTTGTTTTCTTTTCAAACTTCCTGAAGTTCGAGATTCACCCACCAATGAAGTATTAGTCTCTCTAGTACCATGTTAATGTAAAAAAACAACAAAATGATTTATGTTATAAAATTACTGTGCATTGACTTGCTTAGGGTGTCTGTGGCTGAATGGTTCATCTTGTTGACTTCAGGCTACTTGACCCTTACTGCTGTAGGTTCAAATCCTGCCAGGGCCTTCAGATTCTTTCATAAGAGGCAGCTATCTGGCTAGCTGGTTCTACTCGGATGCCGGATTGTGAGGAGCGCCCAAGGTCTTCCTCGACAACCAGGAAAGTCACCATATGACCACTACTGTGTTGGTGTGAAATAAAACCCAACCAAAAAAGAAAATTACTTCCTTATGTTATAAAATGACAACCAAAATGAAAACACAATAGTATTCAGGTTACGGAACGTCGGTGGTTCTACACAGGTTCCCATTTGTGCCTGAAATAATGCACGGAAGGGCACCGGAGGTCTTCCTCCACCAGTAAAGCTGGAATTTTGCCATGACCTATACTGTGTCGGTGTGACGTTAGTTCGAACATTTGACTGATTTAAGTCAGAGCATGAATGTTATTCGAGATTCTAGTATAGCATTGTGTGTAATTGAGGTTTTTATTGAACACGAGATATATGTCCAACATGAAGATTCCACTTATATAGATTACAATCAACTTTGAAAAACAAATATAGTCACATCTTTCATGATTCCAGCTGGTAAAACCATAACAGCAATCAGTGTGTAATTTTAACATCTTTGAATTTAAATCATACAAGTTGACTTTTACACAATATACAATGGTTCAACAATTTGATAGAAAAGGCCGAAATGTTGGGATGTAAAATGACTTTTACCTATTGAAAACTGATCTTTACCTCAAGTATAGAGACCAAGCCAGTATGCACATGATGTGCAGTCTGACCAGGTTCTTAACTGTTCACTAAAGTTTAATTTTCACCATAGTATTCCGAAGTTAAAATTCAAATTGTTCAAAGTAATTAAGAAATCCAACTTGTATCAAACCAGTACCGGTATATATTTTACCAGTAAACAACAATTTTAACTTTTTCCCTATATTTTATGGTAAAAACTGAAAATGATGATGAGAAAGTTTACTTCAGAGATGGATCAAACTAGCAACAATTTCGCTAGATACAATTCAGTGTACTCTGTTCACCGTATTACTAACAAATATAAAATGGCTGTCATCCTTAACCTTTCCAGTAAGACTGCTCATTCAAGGTAGATCAAAATTGTTGTGACCAAATGGTCAAGACATCTGACTCTTTACCCAGTAATAATGGGTTAAAACCCTTCTGGTATCACAACCATGTTTCCTTGTTTGACATCAGTACAGGTTAGCAGACTTTAATGGTTCAAATCAACTACAAGCATTTTTCATAGTCAAGCTTAAATAAGAAGGGAGGTCAGCAAACAAACAAGCAGGGATATTTCTCTCAAGTTTTTCTTCATTTTTATTTTTCTTTGCATAATAAATTACATAAGTCTGTTTAAAACACATTTTAACATTTTCATTATATACATAAATTATTGTGTTTCTGCCTCATTTCCCACAAACAAATAAAACATTTAACAAGCAAACTACCTTCAAACAAAACACTAAAAATTTCTTCCTTTTATATGTCAATGTAAAAGATAGTGACAAAAATATCATAAACCAAAACAGTGTAAAGCTTTTACAGTTGTATATTAAGAAAAGTTACCTCACATCTGAACTACAGATATTGTACTATTATTATTATTTCTGTTCTGTATTACAGTAAAAATAGATGAGCTTTAAATCAAATCTTAGACATCAGTACAGTACTGACATGTGATCACATTACAGTATTTTTATTTATAAATACCTAATAAATTTGGCAAGCAACACCACTATCGTGTCTATTAACTATATAGCAGGCAGTTGTCATTTTTGTAAAAATGTTAAATTTTTAGTTTTTTATAACTTTATGGATATACAAATAATGGTAATCACCTTAAGAAATGTAAATTTTCCTTTGATTATTGCTGTTGAAAGAAAAGACAAAAGTCAATCTGAACATAAACATTTAAAATACTTCACTTGGATTAAATCAAACAAATACAATTCATATACCGGGCATGTGCAGGTTAAAATCCACAAAAAGTGGGAAAGGGGGAGAACTTTGGTATGGAAAATACAACATAAATTTAAGCAATGAACTAACAGTACATGTATATAAAAACACAGTAACAGGAATGTCCTCATCAAGACCACAATGTTTTACTTAAAAAATGATGACATATAAAAATGGAAAGAAAAAAAATGGCACATAAAATGAAGCAGACAGAGTTTAACATAATTCAATCTTTAAAGCCTTATTGTCTAATGTTGCATGATTCAAGTTTTTATTGTAAATCATTATATTATTTCTTCTAGAGTTAGTGGTTAATAAAGATCAGAAAAATATGAGCCGCGTCACGACAAAACCAACATAGTGCATTTGCAACCAGCATGGATCCAGATCAGCCTGCCCATCTGCACAGTCTGATCAGGATCCATGCTGTTCGCTTACCAAATTTACTACAAATCGAGAAACTGATAGCGAACAGCATGGATCCTGATCATATTATCTAACGTAATATTATCTAACGTAAAAACAACAATATTGTTTTATAATTATTGTTTAGCATAAAGGAAATCAAACAGGGTAACATATCTATATGAATCTTAAACTCGCTTAAAAAAGGGAAAAACTTTTACATATCTAAAGCATAACTGGTTATATAATTATTACAAAACAATAAAAAAAAACACCCCCGAAGACCCAGGTTATATGGGGAGACAGCCAACCAAAATATCAACCCATTATCATGACCATTTATTTACATGGTTTTCATTTTTATCCGAGGAAAAAAATATGCCAACAAAAAACAATCGATTGGCCAAGGGGGATATCTTAATCTACAGACTGAAAATACAGCTGATTTTAATAGCATTTCAACCGATGTTATGCATTGCCAATCTGTAAATAATGAAAACCCCAATTTATTTTTAGTTGCAATCCGATTCATTAATTCACGTATGTGTAAACACACAAGTAGAACTTGAGCTAGCATTTAACACCTTTCTCTATCAAAAATTGTTTTCAAAATAAAAGAGGAACATACTGTAAGTTAAAATACTGTAAGATGAACAAGATGCAAGTTGAAAAAGACAAAACCTGGTAGACACCCAATATGTAAAACATGATTATTAATGAGCGGCAGTTTCACATCATGGAAGGGTTACAGTAGCCTACCCCTTTAATTCACGAACACAATATTTTTCACATTATATATATATAATTACGTTATCAACAACAATGAAATACCCTCATATATAATTAATAATATAAAAAACCCTAACAAAATGTTGTAAAATGTAAAAATGGATGATAGATAACACGAAAGGTTATTCATTCAAACATTGGAATCACATCTGACCTCATACATTTAAAGTCTCACATATGAAAACATTGTATAATCTCATAACATCTTTGATACAAAACATTCCATCATTCCACTTCATCAACCAATCATTACACTGTACTTAACCCTTTAAGTGCTGGACCCGAAAGCATAAAGTCTTTGCCACCAGTATAGAGCCAGGCCAGCCTGCACGGAAGTGCAGTCTGACCAGGCTCTATACTGTTGGCTGACAAATTTTAAATATTCTAATTGATATCCCTAAAATTTATAATGGACAGTCCCAAAAATGGAAGTGGGACAAGTCCATTTAAGATATTCAGCATGTTCAGGGTTAAACAATGACTCTATTTAACCAACAAACATATGCAACTTCAATGATATGAAATAAAAAAATACAACTCACCGAGAGACTTTTTTTAGCCAGGTTTAGAGTCACACAGACAAAGTTTAAGGTCATACTGGGACTTTACAGCTTTATATAACTATGCAATCCTCTACATCTCTATATCTGTACACCTGAGTGGTAACGCTTATTTGTAAGCTAGGAAATCTTAACCCTAAGTTTAAATAATTTATTAGTATTTGGATTGTTGATTTGTTTAAAAAGCAAAAATAATTGAAAACCATTTGTAAAACATTTGTGTGATAGCCTAAAATACCTTTTAACTAATAAACCTTCAAAAAAGCCCAAATAATAATACATGCATACAATTTAACAACCAAGTGACTTCCATATTTCAGCCAATTACACTTTTTCTTCAACAATTATTCGAAGCTAAATCACAGTTTCTTTAGTCTTTTCTTGTTTTTCGTTTCCTAGGTGACCGTCTGAAAAATATTAAGAAAATTAACATTATAATAATCCAGCTTGAAAATTTGTGTACGTACATAGTAAAGTATAACCCATCTTTACCATTAGTTAATGTCATTCTTGCCTGGTGGGAATATAAATTTATATGAATTAACAAACAGTTACCTAAGAAGTTTTAGTATGTATAATGCCAACTTCTTCAACAAGTGCAAATTAGCAATCATTGGTCAGTGAAAGGAAGCTGGGAAGAAAAACTGAAAGTTTTGGACAGCAAATAAGTCTTGTCAAATCAGTAAATCAGAGGTGCATGGGTGGGACAATATATCCAGAATGCAAGGTTGTTATAAGGAAACCAAAATTATACATCCTGGAAGATTTCAAAAAGAAAATGCCTTACACAGAATAAGCCCATGTATTATACAAAAATTGTGTATCTTTAGCTTGCCTGAAATGTAGGTTCTACATGCTGACATAAACATCAGACTTAAGAATCATAAATATCTGAAGACAAATTTAGTTAGTGGACCTAAAAATATAGACATTTAACAGTGAACTTGACTTTATATTCTGGAATCAGGGTTTTGCATGTTGTCTAATCAATATTAATTAACATTCAACTCCAGTACAATAAATGCCCATCAACAGGCCAGGTAAAATATCTATCGGGAATATACATTAGCTTGAAAATGGATTGGGATGTTAACTACATTACCCAAGAATGTTATTATTTAGTGAACATACCTAGGAGAGCCAGAATCTTTGCCCTCAGTATCACCTTCAGCCATATCTTCCTCCTGAGACACTTCTTCTTCCTCCTCCTACAAAATACATGACATGATATGATATTACACTGACAACATGACACTTCTCATTGTTTTTATAATACCCTTAAAGTATTCTGATGAAAATATTCTCATTTTCAATGGATAACTTCAAAATTAATTTTTCTTATTTCATACCATGTATTGAGTCAGTTGTGTAAACAAAATGACATTACAGGCAACAACATGATTATTTGTACACTCAATGACCATGTTATTTTCATGAAGAGCAGAATCATCATCTAATATGGCTGTCACACTACATCAAATCACTGACAATACTACGAAAACAAACATGACCACAAGTTGATACACAATTCAGTTTCTTTACATCAAAAACTTTTATATAGCAAGAGCCACTGCCGGGCATTGACAAGACTTGATTTTTTTTACTTTTTCTAAAAGCAAGCAAACAATTCTTTAAAACTTAATAAAAACCAGACACAAACCTCTTTTTCCAAAGCTGCCTTGGATTTCTTAGTTTCAGTAGTTAAATTATCTCCTCCTGCTCCTTCATCAACACCCTCATCTTCTTTATCTTCTGTTTTCTCATCATCCGGTGATGCTTCATCTGTCTTCTTACGAGCAGCATCTAAATCTTCTTGCTGTTTGAAATGTAATCATTTTATTAAGATATATAGCTTTTGCTGTTTTTCTGGCAAATATATACAATGCAATAATGTTTACTTATATACAAGGGTAAAGTCCTCTTCTTATTTTACATGGGTGCAAGTTCAGTAAGCCCAGAATTTAGCAATATATTAAATGGTTTTTAAAGTGTGTTTCAGGAGTATAAAAAAATCTAAACTTCTGGCAAATGTCTGAAAACTTGTTCCCATGATTTCATAATGTATTTATTTGCAAAGCCTTCCGAACATTTAACAAGTTTAATCAGAGAAGAAATTTATATAAACTTCCTTTAAGAAAGTCATTAGTCTAATAGAATATATAACAATACTGTAAATTCTTCAGTTATTCAATTTCTTTAAACCAAGCAGTATAGATTAAAAACTAATGAAACATGTGAACATTATTATAAACTATCAACACCAACAAAATAAAATCTAATAAAATTTTGAAAACTAGTTAAAGCTTAAAAATAACATGAACAACATCAAAAAAATAACTTATGTTAAGATATTCTTTATTTACAAACAATTATATTTTAGTCACAAAATCAAAATAGAATGTTATCTATAGGTAGGTGCAAAACTCAAATAAACTAACTAAAACTTGTGATAAGCTTTTTAGTAAATACAACATAGATACTAAGTAAAACAGATATCTGGTCAAATGTACAATAAATAATAAATGCCAGTTTTTCTTTGATTTTATAGATTTACAGTTTTCTTAGTAATTTAATATTTGAAAATTTAACAAAGAGACCTATGAGAAAATACAAAATGTTTTAAATATGCACTATAAAACCCATTCTCACTTGACCTGTGTGTTCGTACAAATTGTTTCAATCTGACAGAATGAACATTATTAATAGTTTTTCAGTACACAATTACCTTAATTGGCCCAGATCTTGGACAGAGACATATAGATAGAAGAACTATAGGTAACAGGAAAACTACAATGTATACAGCGTATAACCATGGCCGTTCTTCAGCTGATGACATCAGGGTTGACCAAATACCTTGCTAAAAATAACATAAAAACACCACACATGCTAGAATGACCACAGAAAAATAAAACATGTTAATTGATAAACCTGCCTATTGCTTGATCTTAAGATGTGGCAGCCTGCAAAGTGGGGAGTACAACCTTTCAATAATAGCTACACATGGTAGTTATTTTTTTTCAAGAGTTGCAATGTGTATTTCCATCTTAAAAGAAACTTCTCCATTCATAGCAGCAGAGAAAAAAATAGCATTAGACATAGTTTACAACAAACATTGTAGTTCTATGACTTCCAATGATACACCTGATTAAGCATATCACTTGGAATTGATTTTGTAAAGACATTTTTATCATTTATCATATTTTACAAATAGGACCATGTTAAGATCAAGCATCAAACAGGTAGTCAACAAAAGGGGAGTATTAAATTCTAAACCAAACCATCTGCAAGCTCTATTTAGTCATTTGGTACAATCAATTCACTTTCATTTTCATATAAAGTTTTTTACTTTCTGTGGAGAAACATTTCACTGTCATAAAGAATTTTCTTTTTCATTATCAACTTCCAATGTTTCCAGGTTGATAAACTTTGTGAAATAGATATTTATTTTTTCCAGAGTGATTTCTATATAGATTTTTTTCTTCAACACCAAATTTTCCACACCATATCAACTTCACAGAGCTTGCATCAAGTTATAAGTTAACATAAACACAATATTTCACAACAGCAGTACCAGTGTAACATCCATTACTGGCATCTCACCTTATCTTTCTGCATACAGCAGTATGCTATAACAAGTATTACTGGCAGAACCACTACTATAAGGAATACAGCCCATAACCATGGGCGATCCTTAGTTACATCTAGTATCCCTTGTACTAATGCATTTTGCTACAATATACGATAATGACAATATTTATTTGCTTAAAGGATAATAATATTCCTGTATCTTCCGAAAAAAATAAGACATTGATGTAAATTTGAGTTGCAAAATGTATTTATTTAAATTTCATAAAGATCAGGTCTTCTATTTAAATTGCTTGCAATGTTTGTGAAAAACAACATTTTTTTATTTCTACAGTGCCAATCATATAATGATAAAGAACTTGTTTTATATGCAGAGTAAATAAACATGAAAATAATGTATCATGTTTTAAACAATTTTATATACATTTCATGCATTGAAAATCACTTCAGATTTAATTTTACACAGCGTAATCATCACAATTTTGTTTCTCTCAAAACTGAAAAAGATGTAAACATTTATTAAGGAAGGTTCAATGCTAAAATAAGTTCAGATATATTTACCCCTGCCCCTTTGGAGGCTTCAGCAACGGATTTACGTTCCCATGTCTGTTCTACCCATCTGGAATGTACATCTTTATCATCTGTCACTATAAAGTTGTCAAACACAATCTCATCTGTCATCGACCAGAGTTCCAAACCAAGAGCTTCCTGTAAAAATAAACACAATTCTACTCTTTGTAGGACTGCCCTAAAAAAACTTTTTTGTAGCCAATTTAACAATGACATTTAGAAGTAGTCATATGGGTACACTCAATAAAAAGGAAATTCCACATACAAGGGAAAAACAGATTTCAAAGTTCCACTTTCGGCTGAAACATCAGCCAAAGGCTGAATTGTTTGCAAAATGAAAGTCCCACGTAGGTCAAAGTAGTGTAAAGAAATCATTTTTAGCATGGATTTTACACGATTTATTTAGTACGTGTTATTTTATGAGCAGAACGAAGTAAATCCTTTCAGTTTCAGCTTATCCAATGGCTAAGCGATTTAAACATCAAGTCTCAATTATCAATGTACATTTTATAACAACGTTTCAATACAAAGAATGGTAAGCATGCTTACAATAGGTGTCATCTTGTATGGTGATTTGTCTTCAAAGAAGTCGGGATTTGTTATTTTCCTTGGCTTCCATTCTCCCTAAAATCAAATTGACAATGTTAAGTGAAAAACAAAGAATATTCATAGACTACAGAAGTTCTTGTTTTAATTGTTTTAATATAGTGACATTTCCCAGAAGTAAATCTAACAAATTTACAAATCTTGTCTATTTCAGTAAATAAAACAACTGTAAATGCATGTTGATATAGGAGGTAAAACAGCTGTATGTTGCAACCAAGTGATCAAGGTTAACAAAGCTCATTAAATTTCATTTCTGGCTAGTAAATTACTTTACATTTATATTATTTATATTATAAAGTATACCTTATAGTCTGGGTTATCTATCATCTCTGGCTTCCACTTGCCTCTGTATAATGGATTTGGCATATTAGGACGAGTCCATTCTCCACATCCAGGTGCATCCTTACACTTCGGGTTATCTAATTAGAAATTTATACATATAAATTTAATTACCCAGAACCAAAACGGTATTTTTGTGTAAATTTTGTACAGAAACAGCACACTATATTTTCATATAAAAAATAAAAGATTAACTAGTAACTTCTCTTTGTTTCATTTATACACGTAAGGTGTTCAATATAGAAAAGACAAGATCTTCTGAAAATTTTTTGGCATTGTCCTCGATAATTTTTTTTTACAAACTGAACATGTTGATACCCTTGACCTTATGAGAAGTAGCCATGATAGAAAAATCTTATGAAAAAATTAATTAAGCACTTTTTAAGTGTAAGATATCTTTCCATTTATCAAAGTTATCTTTATCATATAGTCAATATGCATATTATTATAACAAAGGATGACTCACTAAACAAGCATCATTATCACAACCATTTGGAGACAACAAAATAAAGCCTTCATTAATCAAAGAAGCATTCACTGTATACTCATCAACTAAAGTTATCTTTCAAACAATCAATTTGTACTAACCTATCAAAGGTGCTTCCCACTCTCCGTCCATCTCATCGTCCCAGTCATCAGGTTTACCAGCATCAGGGTCAGGTATTAATGCCTCCTCATCATCTAACCAACCTTCAGGCTTCTTTGCTTCTTCATCGGGTACCTCCATTGGCTCATCCTCATCCCTAAAATAACCAGTATATTTCAGCTAAAGGCATGGCTATATGTTCATTATGTTAAGGAAATTTAATTTGTGTCGCAAAAACACCAAAATTGATTAACGTCATAAGAAGAATTGCAAGCTTTACTGGTGGGGAAAATATACAGCTAATGTCTCCACATCAACTTTCTGTACAGCCAAAATTTGACGAATATAAAATCATGGAATTTAGAAATAATATTTGATATAATGTGCTATGAAATTCTTTTCCCTATTAACTTAGATCTAGAAAAATTTAACTCACCAGTCATCAGGCTTCTTGGCATCTGGATCAGGAATTCTGAAATCAAAAGTGAACATACAATGTATGAGGTTTGATAAACTTGGGATATGAAATGAACTGTTATTAAAATGTTAACAAAGCATGCATAAGTTTACATTATTTTCAATGTGTCAAACAGTATACTTTACAAGCCAAACATAGATTTCTATGTAAGGCCACTGTAATGTATGACAATTTTTTTCTTTACCAAACTAAATTACAACACTGACCCTTGTCAGTGCCGTACTCAACGTTTGGATAGATTCAGTATTTTTGTTATTCTACAATTTTCTAACAATTCTATTACAGTATTAGTGTTTATCTTTAAGAATTCAACCATTTACCAGCTGGCAGATTGGCAGTTACCTAAATCATTTTTGAATTCTGAACAAGAACTTATCACAGTCTGCATATAATTGTAACTTATACACATAATTTGTTTGAATCTGTGGTGGAAGAAGGCTTCAGAGCATTTCAATACAACCAATATAATCTATAACCAATGATCAAGGACAGACAAATTATGAAGCCTCAAAGTCTGAACAGATGAATCTAATGTCAACAGACTTTACACTCTCCTTTATTAAATTAACTTGCTTGCCTACTCAATCAAAGTTATCAGTTAACAACTCTACCAACTGCTAACATTTTTGCCTTTTTATCAGACAACAAATTAAAATGAAAATGGATAAAGAAAAGTTCAGGTAAATGTAGTGTGTCAAACAATTAAAACAGTCAAACACATAACAAGAGTTTGACAGTACTACTGTTGAAACTATTAATATTCCAAAACTAAATTACAACAATGACCCTAGTCAATGCCGTACTCAACGTTTGGATCATGATTTTAGATGATTTATAAATATATACATAACTGATTAGATACACAATGAAATAATAACTTAAATGTCTCTTACTTTTCTCTTTCATCCCAGTCAGATGGTTTCTTGTCATTTGGATCATCAATCTCCTTTGGTGGATTTACAGGAGGACTGAAATAACACAAAAATACATCAAAACATCATGAATATTAATTAATAATTGTCCCATTCCATCCTTAAATATATTTCAGGATACTTTAAGCTAGAAGTCTTTAAGTTGAAAGTCTTTAACAATGTACAATGTCTGCACATGAATTTGACATTTTAAAAACAAAGACAACAGGGTTAAAATAATACCATAACACATAATAATAATATGTAAATGCTACTCAATATTTAAATGAACAAACAAAACCTTAAATGAGACATTCATCTATCAATACATGTGAACTTCTAAGTAAATGCATGTCTTCTTATGCATGTTTACTAACCTCATATCTTGCAATAAATTACCAGAGTTGATCACTTTGTTGTCTACAAGTATTTCAAATGAATTGTCTGGGTTTACAACTGAAAAATAAACAAATGCATAAAAATTATTATGATCTTTCCTAAAACTTTTCATAGGGGCTAATTTTAAGCTGTCCTGACACAGGTAAGGACAATGGTGAGTTTCAAGTTATACTGGTGGAGTAAGGTCATAGGTGCTGTTACTTCTTTTTTTCACACAAATTAAGACCAACAAACTTCAGTTAGCTACCTGAATAGAATTTACTGCAATAACATATAATACAAAGCAAGTAAAGCTACTTGTTTACCATCAATAATAACTCCTATTACAGATCAATTTAAACATAACATTATGTATTAATATTTAATTACACATAGCAAGATACAGAAAATCAGATGAAATGGACCATACATTAACATACAAACAATAGATAAAAATATCTAGTATGTTCTAATACTTAAAAGTTGTATTAATCATTAATCAATTAATCCCTTATTCTTTTTATTAATCATTTATCAGTAATATCATAACTTTAAATGCTACTAACTTAATTCTTAATTTTTAAACATCAAGAATGCCAAAGAAACACTTCATCAACTTTATAGTTGATATATTAGCACCTTTCTTTTAACACACTAAATTTGACTTCCAATCCAACAGTTTAAACTATTTATAAGGTAGTAAAGAAATTGTCCTCATAACAAAACAGTAAGAAAGACCTTGAACACAGATAGTGGCATACCTAAAGTATAAAGATGAGTTTTCTTGTCAGAGAAAAAGCTGTCGAGATTTCCAGATGGTTTTTTAGCATGTTTTTCCTCAATCTCCCCTGTTTTGGGATTTTTATGACGGAATATAAAATGTAGCTGAAAATGGTAACAATACAAGTTTTGATTATACATTAAATCAATATTTTTTTAGCCTTGCAACACCTTATAATTTAAGACCAGATTAGAGCTTATTTCTGTAAATAATTGTCTCAAAGGAAAAATCATCGTCAGGCTGCGATATACTCCAAGCAGTCAGCATAGAGTATTCATTACACTCATTACCAGTCACATGTTTAAAACTTCTTGTTTAAATCAGGGTATGATCCATATCTTTACACTTGGCTACATCAATCTATCTAACGTTTTAATTTTTACAATGTTAACACAAATGATAATATACTTAACAAAAAGTATTGAAATATCATAAAAACCAAATATATTGATTTAAAAAAAATATACTATTAAACCATTAACAATACTTATTTATTCTTTTTTCAATCTGTTGGAATCATTAGCAATCTCTTTCTGTTGTGACATTTTCTTGCGAGCTGTCTTTGTATCATTATTAAACACAAAATTCATATTTCTACAGTCTTACCTTATGATCTAATCCACATTTATCAGGACCAAACATAATTGTGTATGGTGTCTTATCATGGAATGATTTCTGAAATGAAACATCATAAAATTAGAGAGCATAAGACAAAGACACTTATTTCTCAAATATTTCACTGTCCAAGTCTTTAGATATTTTATGTTTTAATGCTACATCCCCTTCATGGCATATTTAGTTGGAATAATTTTTACATAAATAACTGCTAATAACTGCTGCATCTTAACTTAAAATTACACGTCAATCAAGATGAATAATCAAAGGCGATAATTTTTAGGTCAATAGCTGGCACTACATTTGCAAATTAGCACATTTGGATTACCGTGCTACTGATGGAGACGCCGTAACCGCAGGAAGAACTATAATTGTAAACCTAGACAAATTCTATGACTTATAACTTTCTTCAAAGTAATATATGATTTGGACCCTCATAATTTTCTATGTGACTCTCACTGCAACACAAGTCCCTGGAACTCTTAAATAACAGAAGCTTTTTGTAAGACAGAGTGCTCAACTCTACTCAGTGCTTGACAGTAGGGAAAGGGGAGTAACTTTGTAAAAAGGTAAGTAAGAGTTAAGGGAACAAGTATCAACCAATTCCTTCAATAGATTGACATATGAATTTGCAGAAAATAGTGCTATAAGTATGATGGCAACAGTCACCCAGGAGAGTACAATAGCTTTCCCTTTTCTTTTAATAGTCGGCCTAAAATTGTTTAGAAGAAAACCCAACATAAAACTAGAAGACTTATCCCTAAAATTCATTTATTTGAAATATTGATGCATCAAATTATAAAATAATATTACTCTTACCAGATCAGCATTATTTTGTTTTGAGAGCAGTTTTATATAAGCGCCACCACAGTCGATACCATTTTGATATTTTACCTCATACCTGTAGTTCAAAAATAAAATGTTTAAATTGAAAAACTTGGTATTTTATTGATTATAAAAATGGCATATCATTCTATATACAAAATAGTTTTCAATCATTACAATAAAAAGTTTCTAATCTCTACTTATTCAAGCTAAATTCAATATAAATTCTTAAATAAACAGAGACAATATAGTTACACAATAAAACTCCTTGATGGCTGACACTGAACTCAAATAAAAAAGAAAATGAATAAATTTTCTGTGTACTCACGAAACAATGAAAGGATTTCCACTAAAATCAAACACTTTGTTAAGTTTCTTTGACACTGCATGATGCTTAGCTTTTGACTGAAACAAAGTTAGTCAATAATCAAAACATAAAACATATATCTATAAGATTTTATAGAAAAACAATTTGTAATATTTCGTCATTATATAAAACAATCATTTCTATGACAAATGGCAGATTATTTGGGAAAAAAGTAAAACATTTCATTAAATGACAGCTACACAACCACTTCAGATTATCAAGGAAATCACAATGTTTTCACAAAACAATATCCTGGTTCTGTATTCTGCTAGATAGTTCTTTAAACATTCAATTCATTTGTCACTTTTATGTGTATATATATTACAGTCTGTGATGCAAGCACATCTAGCTTAGTTTCAACACAATAAATATGATCAAAATAACTTTCAATTAAATGACAAACAGTTTATTCCACTCCAATGCCAATTCAAATTTAAGATCGAACTGCAACTTGTCCTTTCTGTTAATATTAACCATTTGAGCCGTGTCATGACAAAACCAACATAATGGGTTTGCGACCAGCATGGATCCAGACAGCCTGCGCATCCGCAAAGTCTAATCAGGATCCATGCTGTTCGCTTTTAAACCTTTTAACAAGTAGAGAAACTGAAAGCAAACAGCATGGATCCTGATCAGACTGTGCAGGCTGGTCTGGATCCATGCTTGTCGCAAACAAACTATGTTGATTTTGTCATGGCGCAGCTCATTTGCATTCTAGTGTGAATTATCTCTTTGCTTAGATAACAGTATGATTGGCTATATGAAAACTACTTGGAAAATACCTGCATTTGACTAATACCTTTAATAATAGGCCTAAATCTCCTTCTAATGCCGAGTCTTTGGGTTCTTCAACTGACCATTTACCATCATATTTGGCTATGTCCTCTTCAACATCATCTTTCTTAGCTTGAGATTTGATCCAACTGAAATAATTTCATGACTGGTTTATAATGATTGTAAATGGATGTATATTTCATAAAACAAAAACTCATTTATTATGTAGATAAGACACTTTTTATCAATAAGGCATGGAGCCATAAACATACAAATATGGTTATATATATCATATACAAATGATTTTTGTGCAATTTTAAGCTGGCTTCAAGTTACAGGCATTGAAATTTCCTTCATTTATGTTTCATTTTACAAAATAAAATAATTATTCTGGAGAAAAAGAGTGAGCAATGTGCACAAAGTTGTTGGCTTAGACCCATATCAAAAGGTACACAAATCTCAAAACAATGTTATCACTCCCAACATGTCAAAAACCTCAGGGAGAGTCTGCAAAAATCTTTATTAATATCCAGTGAATGAATACGATTAAAAAGATAACTAAGTTAAGTTGTACAAGTTTTAAATATACTTGAATAAGTTTTTGAAGTTGTCCAAATGAAATTGTCAACAGAAATACATAGCTGCTTCTTTAGTTACATATAATAAACATTTTAAGATTTTTTTTATCAACATAAATTCTCACCTTCTTTTCAACACATCTGCACCATCAAATGTTTCAGCTAAATATGGTTTTGCTGGCATTTCTGGTGGTTCATATCTCGACTGAAAATACAAAATCTCAAGCAATTAAAATATGTCTTATTTATCCCAAAAGAACTTATTCAATGTCAAACTATTGGTAAGTTTATCAAAAAACAATTAATTTATGGTATAAACTTAAAAGCATAGATCTGGCTTATATGATATTTGCAAATACCTTTTCAAGAATTACAGGTTCTTGTTCAGATACATCTGGTTCATCTTCAACTACTCCGTCATCTTCATCTACTTCATCTTCAAAGTCTGCAACAACTCCATTCCAAACAAGCAAACTAATCAGTAATACTGAGAGAAATTTCCAATATCCCCTCATCCTGAAATTCATAAACAATTCAATTCACCTTCTTAAAAGGAAATTACATTTTTTTAGTATGAAAAGGAAAATATTTAACAGATCTTACAACTTGTTATGCTTTATTTAAGTTTAAACATTTATAAGCAGTCCTGAATATAAGCAGTCAGTGTTTTTTTTCACCAAAATATTCGGCGAAATTCGGCCCCATTCCCCCCTCAAAATAGTATGTTTTTTTCCCCTCTAAAAGCCGAAATTTCCCCCTCATATGGCAGCCAAAATTTTTCTGCAATGGATACCATTGTTTTTGCGTATAACTGCCGAAAAATGTTTTATATTAAGCCTGTAAGACTTACTGTTAAGCAAAGTTGTTTACAAATTGTTCCCGGGTATGTAAGGGGAGCTACTCCTGGCGTCCCAACAAGTTTAACATGCGACTCTTTAAATTCTGCTGTCAATATTTTAGATCCGTATATTAAGAAAAAGCGACGTATTTTAAACTTGTGTTGCAAGAGTTGCTCCCCTTTTCTACTCACTGGAAAGAAAACAATGTCAAACAAAAGTAAATCTTACAGTGGTAAGTGATGTTGTATTAAAATATGCATTGGATTCGTTTTTGTTTCTTCATTTGTGAAGAAATAAAATTCCCCCTCCTTTTGCATTTTTCCCCCTCCAAACGGCACCGACCCCCTTCCCCAAAGAGTGAAAAAAAACACTGGCAGTATTGGGTAAATGGCCAACTAAAATGTGATATATTTCAGATTACCCTTTCTCCGTCTCCTGAGCAATTAAGCCTTTTTAGGCTTACAATTCAGCTTTTCCTCTACAACAACTTCAGAGGGCCGATAAGTATATTGTCAAAACAAAACCTATGAATTTGCGGCTAGACTTTAGAATATGTCCGCAGCTATTTTTAACATTTCACACAATATTATATCCTCAATATTAGCTTATTATTCTCTAAAAATCATTCAGATTACTTCTAGGGTTACGGTTAGGGGTAAGGGTTAGGATTATGAAACCTTGATTTTGCTGTGGGCATATTCTAAAAGTGCTCTGAATTCGCCACTTTTTATCAGGTTAACATTTGAAAGACAAAACATTTATACTTAGAATGTTATTTTCATTCAGTCTATTCCATATATCAATACATCTTTTTTTCCTTTGATACTGTTCAATCAATTGAAAGAGTTCACGACCCCTGGTGGCATGAATCCAATTATTCATTCCTCCTCAATGAAAAAGTTAAGAACTTGAAGAAGGATCATTTGACTATTCATTTAAAATTTTGTTTAACATGACATTTATACAAATGAGAAATTTCAGCTGGTGCTTTAAAACTTTACTGTTTGCCAATGAAAATATCAGCACGAGGGGAATTTACATACCCCACCCACTTTTCTACTATAAAGAAACACACTAATATTATGACAAACATAACTTCAGTTGTGTTCAGTGTAAATGTTTCAATTGTATTACTTATATTCCATAAAATCAGATTAATCGCAAATAGTTTCTTACCTTTTTGGATATATATTAACTTATTTTCGGCGTAATTTTGGAAAATTATCTCAATTCATTACACAGGAAATACAAGATCAACGCACAGGCACGGACACTAGCACGTGGATCGTTTTCATTGGATAATTTTTTCCAGAACGCAACTGTTGATTGGATATTAAATATTGCTAAAACCTGTCACCAGTTTGCATACTCTAAATGTTTATATATTAACATCTTATTCATATCCATGGACTGTTATCGTAGCATTTAAATTTGGAACAGTTCATTTAAACATGTATCTTAAAATACATAACATAAACTTGATGTTATAATATAAATCAATGAGTGAATGATTTTAGGACACGCATTATATAATCAAGGAGATTGGTTAGCCTACTCAATGAACATATGTTATATATATGTTAAAATATGGCAAATCTTACAACTCTGTTAATCAAGCCTGTTTTACAATGTGGTAATAAATCACACGGGGAATAAAAAGGCACTAATATTTAAGGAACCACCACCCTTACCTTGTTATGTTCAACGGTGACTTCAGTTCTGCTGCATAAATTAATTATAGGTGCACGTTTTAAAATACCAAATTTAAGACTTTAAAGCAGAGTTTAGAGGGGAAAAAAAGAATAAGTAAAATGCAAGTTTCTGATGCATTTAAATAACTTACGTACGCAATTTAACGTGCAACAATTTTCCAGAAATTTCCAGCCTTTAACACATGCAAGAGCTTATAATATATACTCTTCCTTTTTTTGAAAACTAAATGATGGCTTCTGATACAATTTCGTAAGCACACTTGATAATATACGTTTCAACATTTTCTAGAAAATTTCAGACATGCAAAGATGTATAACACTAACCTTTTCACGGAACTTTCACTTCATACTGATAGGGACTTTCCACATATATTGGGAAAATAACTTGGTATTCTAACAAAAGTGAAAGAAAGAAAAAAGTTAACTGGATTTTTGGAGAAAATTGTATGATTTTAAAATATTTTTTCAGAGAGGAAGTAGAAAATTAGGCATACAATCGTTGTATCAAATTCATTAAAACATACTTAATTAAGTGTTCAGTGAAGGTTCCTGTTAAGCCGTTAATTACTTGAAAATTTTTTTTTTTATACAATACTGTTTTTGAGATACATATATCATGTTCCCCTAAGATCTGATAAATTTATGTTGTTTTTTGTTTGTTTGTTGTTGTTTTTTTTTTGTATTTTTTGTCTTTGTTCGTGTTATTTTTTAATGGAGGTACGCCTTAAATTTTTGCCGCTCGTTTTGAACATGCATGTCTTTAGATATGTAAGCTAATTTATACATCATATGCAATTATATAAATGTAGTGTTGTGATGTATTCATTTGTACATATAACACAATAGAATAGCTGTGTATTGTTTGATGGGGAAACATCTGGATTTGTTGTGGATAAATTCATATAAATAAAATGTTTGTGTTAATCTTTCATCTAAGGTACAAATTTTAAAGTGTCTCCTCATCTCTATCCCCTCCTTTGGAAACGCTCCCTAACTGTAGCTGGCTTTTTCATCGCCTATGGATATATATCTATATCTATATATGGTTCTATATCTTTATTTAAAAAAAAAATAGCCACATCGTTTCTGGAGTTTCCTCTCCTCTCGTAACCGACTAAATGGAGTTATATACAACATAATTGTATTCGTAAATTAGGAAAAATAACTTTATTTAAGTTTGTTCTACATGCTTAGACATTAAAATTTGCACATATTAATCATTTCATTGGCTAGTTTGTAATTGTGATACATTTAGATATACGTAAGATTTCTCTTAACTGTTCAAAATAAATAAAGAAATGAACACATTTCAACGGTTTCCCAAATCATAATTACCGGACTTACCACGGAGTTTATACAGAAACCGCGTATAATTATAATTCGCGCAAAAATAGAATGACGTCACTCAAAAGCATAAGAGGAAGCGCGCGCACCCTAATCGCCATAACATCATCGAAAAGCGACAAGGAAACATTGAGATCATTTAGTACAGACAAAGACTACAGCTTAAGTAAGTGTAAAATAATATTTATTGCGACGTTTTGTAAATCAGAATATTTTTTCTTTGTAAATTGTTGCTATTTTGCGTTCACAACACAGTATATTGTCATTTTTGCCGTCATTTTTCGGTTTCATAAATATTTCAAAATCATGAAAATTTACGTCGGAAATTCCGTAAAAAAATTTTATAACTGCACATCATATTGAATACAACTTCAATTTTATTTAACGATAATTCCAACGGGGATTTTATCTGTATAAAAATAAAATAAATAATGGCACGTAATCAGGTTTTTAAATCAAACAATTGATTGCCTGAATAAATTATAGAATTGGAAAACGAAAATTGGCCAATTGCCCATAGGCATTGTTTATGTAAAATTGTTATACAGTAGTATTTTATTTTCAGGTATGCAGATCTTTGTAAAAACCCTCACTGGAAAGACCATTACCCTCGAGGTAGAGCCATCTGACTCCATTGAGAATGTGAAAGCCAAAATTCAGGATAAGGAAGGTATCCCCCCAGATCAGCAGAGATTGATCTTTGCCGGTAAACAGCTGGAAGATGGACGTACATTGTCTGACTACAACATTCAGAAGGAGTCCACTCTCCATCTTGTACTTCGTCTAAGAGGAGGTAAATAAGAAATGTTTTTTCTTATTTAATCTTTGTTTGCTGTAGCATTACTTCCTGTTGTTTTAGTAAGAAATACAAAGTTTTGCCGTTTTAATATTCAATAGATTAATAAATGACTTTGATTAAAAGAGTTAAAATGTTAATGTTTTTCAGGCATGCAAATATTTGTTAAGACACTTACTGGAAAGACCATCACACTTGAAGTAGAACCATCTGACTCCATTGAGAATGTGAAAGCCAAGATCCAGGACAAGGAAGGAATCCCCCCAGATCAGCAGAGATTGATCTTTGCTGGTAAACAGCTGGAAGATGGACGTACATTGTCCGACTACAACATTCAGAAGGAGTCCACTCTCCATCTTGTGCTCCGTCTTCGAGGAGGTAAATAAAATGTTTTATTATAATTATAAAATAATCATAGTGTTTGCTTAGGCAAATTTACTTTTGATTTAATAAAAATTACGCATAATTTACTTTTGATTTAATAAAAATACAGTCATTGAAGGACTAGTTAATCTTGTGTCTTAAATTGAAACATCCCACATTTTGCTTATATGTCCTAGTATATTTATGTTAAAATATGATTGAATATAATTGGTATGTTATTGATTTTTCAGGTATGCAAATCTTTGTAAAGACACTTACTGGAAAGACCATCACACTTGAGGTAGAGCCATCTGATTCCATTGAGAATGTGAAAGCCAAGATCCAGGACAAGGAAGGAATTCCCCCAGATCAGCAGAGATTGATCTTTGCCGGTAAACAGCTGGAAGATGGACGCACATTGTCCGACTACAACATTCAGAAGGAGTCCACTCTCCATCTTGTACTCCGTCTTAGAGGAGGTAATAAAGATGTTTTAAATCTTTAAAAGATGGTCTGTAGAACTGGCCTTTTTAGTTTTGTTTAATTAAAACATCTTGAGGTTTCATTTGGTAGATTTTTGGTCCATGAATGATCTTGAAATCAGATATTATTGATTTACTCCAGACTCCTTTTTGTAAGTAATTATAATATATTACAGGTATGCAGATCTTTGTAAAGACACTTACTGGAAAGACCATTACCCTTGAAGTAGAACCATCCGACTCTATTGAGAATGTGAAAGCCAAGATCCAGGACAAGGAAGGAATTCCCCCAGATCAGCAGAGATTGATCTTTGCTGGTAAACAGCTGGAAGATGGACGTACATTGTCTGACTACAACATTCAGAAGGAGTCCACTCTTCATCTTGTGCTTCGACTTAGAGGAGGTAAGCAAAATGTATATTACTTTTTGTAGTTAAACTTCTTTCTGATGGTCAGCTGTGCTGAATTAATTTTTGATTTCTTATTTCAGACTATGATTAAAACTGATTGTTCTAGTAATTGACATGTTTTTTGCACAATATTATACAGAACAGTATTTTTCTTTAAAGAATACTGTGATAAAACCTGTAAATAAAATATTTATATGTCCTTAATATTTGTCTTGCCAGGTATGCAAATTTTCGTAAAGACACTTACTGGAAAGACCATTACCCTTGAAGTAGAACCATCCGACTCCATTGAGAATGTGAAAGCCAAGATTCAGGACAAGGAAGGAATCCCCCCAGATCAGCAGAGGTTGATCTTTGCTGGTAAACAGCTGGAAGATGGACGTACATTATCTGACTACAACATTCAGAAGGAGTCCACTCTCCATCTTGTGCTTCGACTTAGAGGAGGTAAATAAAAATGAATGCCCTGCCCCTTATTACCTATGGGCTGTGATACAAATTTTTTTTCTGTAGTCTGTAGTACCTGTTCTTATAAGCATCTTTTATAGAGATTTTGAGACCCAGTATAAAACATATTCATCCATAAAGTGAACATTATCTGATAATTGAGTCTTTCATTATAGTATTTTATGTACAAAATGTATAGTGATAATGTATTTTTTTAATCATAAAATGTTTGTTTTTAAGGTATGCAAATTTTCGTAAAAACCCTAACTGGAAAGACCATTACCCTTGAAGTAGAACCATCTGACTCCATTGAGAATGTGAAGGCCAAGATCCAGGACAAGGAAGGAATTCCCCCAGATCAGCAGAGATTGATCTTTGCTGGTAAACAGCTGGAAGATGGACGTACATTGTCGGACTACAACATTCAGAAGGAGTCCACTCTCCATCTTGTGCTTCGTCTTAGAGGAGGTAAATCATGTGACCACTTTGTTCTTGATGAAGTAGCTTAATGTCTGTGAAATTCCTTCATATAATTATTTACATTTTTAGCTGGAATGTTAATAAAAAAGTATGTTGATCTTGCAGCCTATAAGAAACTTGCTTGTTTTTTGTTTTGTTCAAGTATGACATGTAGAGGTTGTTCAGCAATTTTCTAGCTGCAAGCTGGATAGTTTCCTTAAGAGAGTCCTAAGTATCTGATGTGATTCAAACCCACAGTGGTCAGTGTTGATTTGATCAGTAATCTTAATCATTTAGGTCATGGAAGCCGCTTGCTTATTAACTAAAAGACATATCATTTGTTTTATTTAAGGTTTTTGTTTATTAGGTGATTAATAAAACAAATTTGACTTTAATAAATCGTTTCATGTTCATTCAGGTATGCAAATTTTCGTAAAGACACTTACTGGAAAGACCATTACCCTTGAAGTAGAACCATCTGATTCCATTGAGAATGTGAAAGCCAAGATCCAGGACAAGGAAGGAATTCCCCCAGATCAGCAGAGATTGATCTTTGCTGGTAAACAGCTGGAAGATGGACGTACATTGTCCGACTACAACATTCAGAAGGAGTCCACTCTCCATCTTGTGCTCCGTCTTAGAGGAGGGTTTTGAAACATACTTAAGCTGTGACATCATCATAAACTCATCTAAAACAAAACTGTTTAAGGACATTTATTAACTTCAGAAAGGAATGAATCTTGTAGACATTTGCATGGTGTTATCATTTTAAAAATATGGGAAAAGTAAGACCTTTAATATTAAAAACATTCACAAAATAAGAACTTTTTTTTATAGTAAATTTTTGGATTTGGTAAGTAAAACTATTGATCAAAAGACTTTTTATCTTGAAACTTTTGCAACTGAATAAAAATAAACGTTTCGGCATATTATCTGTTTTGTCATATTTTGTGCATTTTTTTGTTGTTGGCATTATACTAAACAGTTATGGTTCTGTGTGCAACTTCTTGAACTGCCTTTTGTATTTCATCAACCACTGATATATTCTGACAACTTCCCACAAGAGACTCTTCACTTAAGTAAGGAAGCTATCCAGCTATACAATATGTCAGTGGTTCTGCTCGTGTTTCCACTTGTGCCTGAAATAATCCACAGAGGGTCACCAAAGGTCTTCCTCTGCCAGTAAGGCTTGAAAGTCACCATATGACCTCTACTGTGTTGGTGCTGCATAAAACCCAAGCAAAAAATCTTCTCAAACATCTTAAATTGAGATCATAAAAGTTCACAGAATTATTGCCCCTTTTGAACTTTTAAGAACATAACCTAGTTAAGTTCAAGCATCAATCTTCAGATGGTAATTAATTAAAGCTTCATGTGTTTGGTATCATAATTGAATGGCATGAATTTAAATTATTTTGAAGGAATGTTTTGCCCTAAGTGAAATTGTAAAGTTTTGGTTTCAGTTTTTCTGTGCAGTATGAATCTTTCAAAACACTTCTGAGTGTTAATTTGTACCTTATTTAGCATTTTGAAAATAAAGAAATTTATTTTATATCAATTTGCATTTGGTCACTTTCCAAGATCGATAACTCTGGTATAAATTTTGAAAGAAATATGGTCTTTTGTGTTCATGAACAAATATCCAATACCCAAAACATATTTTTCAAATAAAATCCTTTAGTATGTTACATGTAACTTATTCAATCTCTTGTTTAACTATCAAGTTCTAAGACTAATTGAGGGGCTGTTCTGACAGCTATTGTTGGTACTACAATTGTGCTGGTAGAGTGTATTTTCGGCTGTCTTTTGTAAAACGTGTTGTTTTATCAACATGATGTTCATAAGTTAGGGAAAAGATTATGGCAAAAATTTAATGAAAATATCGAAATTAATTGAGAACTAATTATCAATCACAAGGTGTCCTTTGTGGAACTTTGACCTTTGTAGATTTTTATCTTTAGATAAAGCACTAGCAGTGTTGTATAATTCATTCACTGATAATAAGTATCATTTAGATTAAAATATATGCAATCACATTGAAAAGATAAAACTTAACTGTTTAAACATTAAATGGGATGATAATTGGTGTCATGTGATGAGATGACAATAGTGAACTACTTAAATACTTCATATATTACAAGTTGAATCATGTCCTGAATAAGTATTGTTTACATTCATATGAATCACAATCCTGTACACTGATGACCTTAATAGTATGTTAATTGTTCACTTTAAATTGATAACGGGCATTTGTCAGTATATAAAATATTTCATGTGATCCATCTGGTCAGAAATGGCCACTTCTTGGTGTCATTTAGCTATATAGACTTAACATGTCTTTAAAGATCTTTTCTGAAGCCACAATGCCCAGAGCTCAAAATTAGCTTATAACATATCCTACTAAAGTTAAATTAATTATTCGTCTCAAATGATCCTGGTTTTATGAAACTAAAATTGATTGTATTGTGTTAAAATTAATTGGTTCAGTAATGATGTAAAAAAGTTGCTTCTTTGCAAAGAAACAATCCTAATTTGGGATAAAATTGACAAATAAAAGAAATACATAATCAGATAAATTTTAGATCAAGATCAATATTTGGATCAACTGGGAAATGCCCATATCTTTAAGATAATTCTAAAATTTCATAAGCATGGTGTTTCATCAAGTTGATATGTAATTTACGAGGATAAATAATGGAGAATATTCAAGTTTAAATCTGATCTTCATTTCGATCCTTAAATCTTGGTGAACACATGGCCTGGAATAAAAGAAATGACCACAGCTTGGGTGTCTTTTGGTTTATAAAGACTTATTTCATCATGTTTCTACGGTCTCCAATGCCCAGAATAAGATATTTGACATGTTGCACAACCATGTGGTCCTCTACAAAGGTTATACATTGTATACCAAGTTGTGCACCTTGGTCAAATTTGGCATGCATTGGTACCATGTATGTAGTATTGTATTATGCTTAATAAGGGTCCATCTGCAAATTAAGGCATGCCATTAAAAAGCTAAGGTTGAAGCAGAATGTGGTGATAATTTACCTCCAGTGACCAGAAACAATAATGAAGGAGGTTGTCCTGAAAAGGGCTGCCTACAAAGGGCATCATGGTTCAAGCCGCCTCTTAATACTAGGGGCTCATGCACCCTTGTACCTGCCACATTTGAGGGCTTCTCCCCTCAGCTTCAGTCAGGACATTGGCTGCTGAATTGTAGATTGTGATAGAAACATAGCTCTCTTGCTTTGATCTTAACCAGTCAACATGTCCTTGGTGATGAATTCAGCCAGTTTTTCCTTTCTGTCCAACAAGCAGGTACCGAGAGGAAGAGTGAAGCTGCAGGGGGCCCTTAGTTTATATAGACATATACACATTAAACTTCAATGCTGAGAGCTTAGATATGAAGCAAAGGCTTGTTTATTCTTTAAAAAATTAATCTGTGGGGCTTATTTTGTTTATCTGAAACTATATTATACAATTCCTAGAATTTATCTATTTGGCACTCAACAAAAATTGGAATAAATCACCAACATTGGCTCAGTTGCAGGGGTTTCTAAGTTTACATAATTATGAATAGAGAAATTTAGGAAATTACATTTAAATCTTCTGGAAGACTACAATTCCAAAAGCTGTAGCTTTGCTTAATTGACTATCTAGTACTATCCAATGGAAGTAATGCTCTTTGGGTAAAAAATGTCACTGTCTTGGAGGCCACTTTGTTTATATACTCAACATGTCTTCTCTGAAACTAAAATGCACACAGCTGCAGCATCATCTTTAGACCCTGATAGGTTGAAGGTGCTTGTATAAGCTACAGCTACAGATTAAACAGTATTTCAGTCATATACTTTTAGGTAGATTCGTAATAGCTGTTCCTGGTCTCTACCAGTTCATCACATAAATTTCTACCATTTTCTCCAAATAAATCATTAAATATAATACAGTATTAAACAATAAGAATCTTACACAAGCTGTCGGTACAGACTACAAGATCTAGCTTGAGAGCAACTGTTTATGGCGGTATTGAGGCTTTGCCAATATTTACCTCTGTGACAATACCTTGTATTTAAATATTTTTTCTGGCATATTGCTAAAGAAATAAAACCATATAGTTTCATGTTGCACTTTCTTACAGTAGCTTATGAATTTACAACTTTTTTCTTTAATAGCAAAATGCTATTATCCTCCAAATCATTCATAAACAAGGGTGCCATAGTCACAAAATACGCCTGTTTACGAAAGCTTTAGATGGAGATGGGGGCATTATGGATAAGTGTTATCTAGCAAGCAAGTTTTTATTCTTGGCACTGTGTTGTAAAATGAACCTTAAAACAATTCAGTAGGGAAGGTATGCACAGGATGTGTGACCTTGACTTTGGTTGCAGGGACCTGAATTTTATGCACGGCACTCAGCCTCACAGTGATGAACATTTGTGCCAAATTATATTGAAATCCCTCTATGCATGTAGAAGTTTTGCTCCAGACAAGCGTTTTTCTATGAGCTCTAACTGTGATCTTCACCTTTGACCTAGAGACTTGGTTCATGTGCAGGGCACTACGTCTCATGGTGGTGAACAATTCTATAAAGTAACATTAAAATTCCTCCATGCATGTAGAAAATATGACCGGACAACATCTGGATATTTAATCATCTCCAGTGACCTTGACCTTGCAAATATTAACCTAAATTAAATGTGTCACACCTGTAGTCACGATAGTTACCATTTGTGCTACAATCCATCAATAAATGATGACTAAATGGTCCCTATACACATCTTCAAATTTTTATCTGAACTTTGACCTATATGTGTAACCTTGACTTTGGTCGCAGGGATCTGAATTTTGCGTGCGACACTCAGCCTTACAATGGTGAACATTTGTGCCAAGCTATATTGAAATCCCCCTATGAATGTAGAAGTTTTGCTCCGGACAAGCATTTTTCAATGAGCTCTAAGTGTGACCTTGACCTTTGACCTAGAGACCTAGTTCATGTGCGTGGCATGGCTTCTCATAATGGTGAACATTTCTATGAAATTTCATTAAAATCCCTCCATGCGTGTAGGAGATATGCTCCGGACAAAATCTGGATATTTCATCATCTTTAATGACCTTGACCTTGTATATATTGACTTAAATTATATGTATCACAGCCATAGTCTTGATAATGACCATTTGTGTTACAATCCCTCAATAAATGATGACTAAATGGTCCATATACACATCTTCATATTTTGATCTGAACTTTGACCTCTATGTGTGACCTTGACCTTGGCCGCAAGGACCTGAATCTTGTGCGCGACACTCCGTCTCACAATGGTGAACATTTGTGCCAAGTAATATTGAAATCCCTCTATACATGTGGAAGTTTTGCTCCGGACAAGCATTTTTCAATGAGCTCTAAGTGTGACCTTGACCTTTGACCTAGAGACCTGGTTCATGTGCCCGACACTGCTCCTCATAGTGGTGAACATTTCTATGAAGTTTCATTAAAATCCCTCCATACATGTAGGAGATATGCTCCGGACAAAATTGGACGCCGCCCGCCAGGGGCGTTCCCATAATACGTCCCGTTTTTCAAACGGGCGTATAAAAAGTGTGCGAGAAGGACTTCTTTTAAAGCACGTATTTGTCTTACACAGGGTGTAAGAAGTTCTGTAAACTGTAGATAGTCCTGTCCTGATTATGCAAGAAATAATGATCTGTCAAATTATTCCCAATTGCCTATGAACAACCTTACTAACAAATTCCAGATCTTTCTCAGCTAGCCAGCTGGTGGACATTCTGTAACATTATGAAGGTTACAGAATGATGGTTTCATATTAAAACAATAACATTTCTTTTTACTTATTATTTATTTGCATAATTTTACATAGTGATAACTTCAACAAGAGGTAAAGAATTGTAAGTCTTAATAAGGTATATAGCAAAAAGAAAATGATTACAATGCATTCTTTAAGTTGGGTGAATACATGTACATACAAACAACACTCTTAATCAAATAATTTTATATCCCTGATAATGTTTTGATTGGTAAAGAATAAATTCCTTAATATTTTTATTTTATACTAAACATTTTCCAATATCAATTGTTGGTAATCACAATTATAGTAAGTGCGAATCATTTAAAATATATTAATGATCCACATTATTTTTTGTCCAATCACATTGCAGTATTTTTCAAATTTCAAAGTCTAACTTTGGTTAATTTGTACTTATTAAATAAAATTTACTTAATTAGTCATCTAACCAGTCTAACTAATTTCAATAATGCATTATATTAAGGAGGAGTTAGAGGTGTGGTTTGCACTCGGAAATGTAAAATATCTACGTATGGCAGAGTTTCAACTTAAAAACAATGCTGATGTAAAAAATTAATTAATTTGGCGAGGTCAGGGGTTTCTAAATGTGAGGATACAATCAAATTTATTACATTATTAACATAGATAGTACACATTAGGCACTCAGAGACAAATGATTACAGTAACCTTTTTGATATCCTTTTAACTCTACGAAAAATGTCTGTTATAAACTGCTGACTGTTTTAAACTTTATATTTTCTAGAAAAAGTAAGCAAACCAGTATTTTCTTTCATTTGACAGGAATGAACTGCATTAACAATCCTAGATATTAAGAATACAATGATTACTTTTTTTTGCTTGAAAAGTCATTGTAAATGGACCCCTCCATCTGTAGACCTAAATTGATCCACAGAAATATAAAACAGTGACCTGTTTTTCAAAGGAGCAAATTAATAAGAATTTTACTGAATAACTTTCATCAAATAACAAATTTGTATCAATTAATTAGCTCAAATATATTTTTCTCACATTTTCCATATATTTAAAAAGAATGTGCATTTTTCATTAACTCCATTATTTTTAGCTAATTGCATCATTTTCCCACTTTTTTGTTCACACATTTTATAGAAACACGATAGTCTTACTGTAGACAAAGGTATGAATTCGGGGCAATCTTAATAAGACATTTCAGTAAAAAATTTGCCTGATTATATGTTGAAAGGGCCATTTATTTACCTTATCTGAATGTGACATGTAAGAAACTTGACCAGGTGTAGACATTTTGTAGAGTATAAGTGCAGACAAATTGATTAAAGAAATACTGTTTTACACCAAAACATCACAAATTCACTCAGACCATGCCACAGACTCTAACATGTTAAATTGTTAATACTAACACAAAAGTAATGACCATACCTAACCAAGAGGGCCAACTGTTATTTAGTGCAATTAATCAAGATATTTATGAAAAATACACATTTTCATATATACAATGTAGTATGAAAATTGTGTTAAGAAATATACTGTAAGTCAATTAATGGAATGTCAATGTAATAAATTTAAATAGGTAAGGATATTGAAACGCATGACAAAGAACTTGCGTGATTTCCTATAATAGACATAATGACAAAGATGAATGAAAATGGAAAAGTCTAATGAATAATCAAATAAATAAAACCTTTTTATGATAATAATAAATTATAATACATAATGGACATAATACAAACATACTGGTCTGGTGAACCCCCATTCACTGATTAACTTAGCAAATATGTTTATAAAAAAGGAGAAATATTGTCAATTGTAAACATGATACATAAATCAAACCTTCATTATTTTTTCCACACACAAATTTCCAATGAATAAACATTATATGCATACATATATGCTTATTTATATTAGATACTTACATTGCTTCATAAACATTCAGAGATACATAACCCTAAATATGCTGGAAATTAAAGTGATTAGCTTTGGCTTGTTTACTGTAAGCATTGCTTATAGAAGATGGTTTAAAACAACATAATAGCTCGTTTCTACATTCATCAACATTGTATTATACATACAGTTGAACTTCTATGAGTAAACAGAGTTGAACTTTGATTAGTCAATTTTATAAATGTGTGAAGTAAAATTAAAGTATCGATTTTCCCTCCTAAATATTCTTAATAAAAACCTATATATCAGTTGATAATTTATGTGTCAAAGTTTTCATTGCGTCAATTTTTTTTTCGTTGTCCGTATAGAATAAATCGAGAATTTACCATAAATAAGTCAAAGTCCTTCAAATAATTTTGAGACCCTCAATCTCGAGACTTTTTTCACACCTTTTCTGGTCCCGAAGATGATTTCCGTTCAACTTGTGTCACAGGTGTTGTAACACAGCTGTGTGTTCTCACAGCCTTTGTATGCATCTAAATGTGTGATAATAATATTTACTATAAGCTGGTTATTTCCTTTTGTTTTGCCTTTTCTTACTTCCTTCTAAATGCCAGGGAGTTAACATTTTTTCATCAAATTGCAACAGAATCATGAGTCCAAGTTCTGATGTGTCGAAGTTTTTACGAAAGTCCCTTCAATTTTGACTTACCAAAGTTCTGCTGTATATATTTATATCAACTGTATCACAGATTAAGACTATTCAAACAATAATAGTTAGGTTTATATATTTCATCATCTTTTCTCACTTCCTGATGGACCTGCGCCGGGGTAAGGATAAGCCCCTGACCCAGGGGGAGGAGGTTTCTGTGGTGCTTTTTTTTTCTCTGCAATATCCTCCAATACTGCCTTCCCAGTGTCCTTTGCAGCTTTCTTTGCAATAGCTTTGACCCCAAGATGGTTGGCATTGTAAGCTGTCATTCCAATGTTACCTGTTGCATATAATGCATTTTCAGTTGCTTTACCAGCTTCAGCCCCATACCTTTGGTAAAATAAATGATGAAATATTAATAAATGGTTTAACATATGAGCCACGTCATGATAAAACCAACATAATACGTTTGCGATTAGCATGGATCTAGACTAGCCTGCGCATCCGCGCAGTCTGATCTGGATCCATGCTGGTTGAAAACCCATTATGTTGGTTTTGTCATGACGCGGCTCATATTGGTTAGCAAGATAAATATATAAATACTTGCAAGTTTGGTAGAAGAAAGTAATGTTTAACTATTAAAATGTGTTATATCATCAATAAGAAATGTTAAATGTTTAGTTCTTACTCAACTAACAAGTATGTTGTGAATGACTAACAAGCATGTTGTGAATGAGTTCCACATTAATAAGAAATTACTTAATTCAACTCCCATCACAATATGTTACAATGTGAAATAATGTTTGTAATTCAACACACATACATCTTATTAAAATATATTAATATGTTTTAAAATTTTGTATTTTAAAGCAGTATTTTTGGATAATGTATGATTTTTACAAAGTAACAAATTCTAACTTATGGCTAACTATTTCGACTGTCTCACAGGCAAGGTTCTTTCCTAAAGCTTTAGCTGCCATTTCTAAACTCATATATACTGTTCCAAATCCTGTAATAGTTATAATAGAATGAATTAATTAGTTTTACCACAAGATCGACATTTAATTTTACTGTTTATACTAATCATATCAATAAAATATAAACATAGAACTTTTTTTAGTTGATGTGAATTATATCATACTTCGAAGTGCAATGTCCTGCAATTAGGAGAAATTGAAAAATATTAGACATTATTCATTTTAAACTTAAAATAAACCAATATTCTATTAACCAAGTCAATGAGGATTATTTTCCACTCTTCAATTCACGAAATTTACCAAGTGGCAGAATAAGCCTTCCCAATTTACTTACCCATTTCCAATTAATGTGAGACATTTAACATAGTGAAGGAATAAATCAAGGTGAAGAAACTATGCAACAGACTTAAACTTACAATGAACATAAAACCATCTGTAAAAGTAACATTTCACTGGTTTCAGGCATTATGATAATATTCCATAACTTACAGACTATTTAGTGTTTGATATAAGAAGAACGTAGAACCTACCTTTTAATCCTGAAGCCGCTACCTCTATCACACCATCTATCTTTGATTTCCCATCACCTGACGATTTCATTGATGCAGGTAAAATCTTCTCACCCTGCTTACGTATATGTGGGGCTGCTTCTCTAGCTAATGCCATTGTAGCCTCCCCAAGTTTAGTTACTGAAAAGAAATCATGCTTATTCATTTTATTTCTAAATTTCATTGTCTCTATGAAAAAGAAGTAATTGCAGTTACATTTGTGTCATACTTAGGTGACAAGATGTTGATTTTATAAATTTATGTAAATGGTGTTAGAATATTTGTCGGCAGCTGCTTTACAGAACTCAAAATTGTTTAATTTCTCTCACATGTAAATATGAAGAGGTAATATCATATATCATCACCTTAATACAGTAACGGGCTAACTCCTGTTAAATTCAATAGGAGTTAACCTGTAACTGCACCAATATGACAATATAATTATCTTTGTCATATTCTTCATGACTGATTCCAAAAGATCACAGAGTACTGAAGTATAATTTAAATATATTAAAAGACAATAAATAAGTATAGAGATACAAAGATACAGGTCAGATTTATACCTTTCTTCTCTGGTTATAAGACATAATGACTTTGCAATAAGTATCAGATGGTGGTGGTATTAGTAGTTTTCACTCCAGATCACGGCAGAAAGCCACAATGAATTTACCAGAGCACAGTTCCTGGGCAAGCTGTCAAGCAGTTTACCAGTACTTGTTACTTTCACTTTCGCAAGGAACTGAAATGTCTGTACATGCCAGAGCAGAGGTACAGTGCGAATGATCGTAGAAATGACTGTAGAAAGGATTTCATGATCAATCAGAATGAAAATGACCTGCACTGTCCGGGAATTGAACTCTGGTCGCCCGATTTACATTCCAACTCTCTACCTATTGAGCTAACCATACGGCCTTTTCAAATCAGATGCCCAAATGTTAAGTTATTTGATTTCATGCCAATTCAAAATTCCAAAGAAAGATAAAAACAACATGGGAAAGATTTTTGAACTCAACAGTATTTGTGTCTGAATTTGGAACTTCATTGTATCCATGATAAATTTAAATATCTAAGTATGAAAACTGAGAAGCCAACAGAATATGCTAACTGGAATGGTTTAAGAGACAGTTGCCCCTAGTACTAGTACATTGTATTTAAAGAGATTTATAATAAAAACTAATTAAGGTATTTACCAATAAAAGAGCTAACTTGTACTGCAACATGAGATCCTTTCCTGGCATACTGTATCCCCTTCTGAACTTTTGGATCAACGTGCGTTGGTTTATCCTCTGGGTGCAGTCTCTCCCTAATTTTTGATGACCCATGCTTCATTAGCTGTCCTGCTTTCTCCGCCCCCTTACCCACGCCCCATGAGATATATTCCGCAGCTGAATCAAACAGAAGAAAATATTACATGATACTCTGATATATCCATATCCATGTGTTTCAATCAATTTCCGGGCCGGCAAAATCTAATTTTGACTTACTAGTCTGTTTTTCTCTGAAGCATTTCTTAACTTGTCTGTATAACATCTATATAGTAAATTTTCGAAAATTTAAACTTACAGGCTGTGGCACAACCTGGGCAAAATGGATAATTGATTTCGCTGCCCCTGCTAAATGGTAAAAAATTTGAATCAGAATATATTCTTCACAACTATAATGAAACTATCTTTTCACAACAGCGTCCTTAAAAACAAAACCTTTGAACCTTTTCGATACTCTGTGTGACGTTAACTTTACAATGCATGTAGATCCAAAATATTGAAAATATAAATATGATTTACTGTATTTTGCTTTCTCATCTTTTTTATCACGTAAAAATTTTAATTTCATACATCAATTTACATACCTACAATTAATCCTTTAGATATTTTAGTACTTGTAGAGCTTGCCTCCCCTTCTGGTCTTACTTCCCCAGTAGCCTCCCTTGTTTCCAATGGTGCTGTGGGTATTTCTCCTTGTTGCTGTTGCTGTTGTTGTTGTAATACTGTCAAGGAGTTGAGGAATTCTTCAAATAGTTCACGATCTGCTTGTGCTAAAGTGTCTGGCACCATAAGGCCCACTGCTGACCCTGTTACGTAATAAAATCTTATAAAAATCTCATCTTACATTTAAACAATAAAAGTAAAGAAATAACCCTGAAATTATGTTATCATAATGAAATTGCACATTCAAAATAAATTGTAGATCTATAACAAACATAACAAATTGAATTTGTCTGAATCTATTTCAATTATTTATTTCAACATGGCCAGTGTTGATATGTAATTGATCACAACAAAATTTCAAGTAGCAATGCTTATTTGATTCTCAACTTACTACAATGATGTTTCAACATAATACATAATCAGCTGAAAATGTAAATTAAAAAAAAAGGTTCCAATGAAGTATTTTAAGAACATAAAACTTCATCTTTATTTGTAAAAAAATACAGGGTAAGAATTCTATAGTGATAATATAAAACATAATTGCTTTTTTACAGTAATTTTTTCCCATAAATTATTTCATTATTCAAGTGACAGACTAAACATTATTCAAGTGATGGACTAAAAATAAAAAAAATTAATAAAAAATAAATAATTTTTTCTATCTTGCTTGGATACAGTAGCAGGCATCTGCCATCAGAACTAGACCTATCACTGAAGGTGATTAATACCTCCACCAGCAACTTTTTGAAAAATAAGTAGTCTGAAGAAAAATTTCAACACATACTATCAACTGTGTACAAAGAAATATTTCAATTAATTGTAATCCCAACCGGGGTCTCCAAATAAGCTTGCTTTTCACAAAGTTTGATTACAATATCTCATTCCTAACTCTAGTTATTGTCCGGAAACCATTTTTCTATATTTAGTAACGGTGACCTTGACCTTGACCTCAGGGGGTCCAAATGCAATACCAACCCAGGTCTTCATATAAGCTTGCTATACACCAAGTTTGATTACAATATCTCATTCCTAACTCAAGTGATTGTCCGGAAACCATTTTTCTATTTTTAGTAACGGTGACCTTGACCTTGACCCCAGGGGGTCCAAATGCAATACCAACCCAGGTCTACATATAAGCTTGCTAAACAACAAGTTTGATAACAATATCTCATTCCTAACTCTAGTTATTGTCCGGAAACCATTTTTCTATTTTTAGTAATGGTGACCTTGACCTTGACCCCAGGGGGTCCAAATGCAATACCAACCCAGGTCGTCATATAAGCTTGCTATACACCAAGTTTGATTACAATATCTCATTCCTAACTCAAGTTATTGTCCGGAAACCGTTTTTCTATTTTGAGTAACCATGACCTTGACCTTGACCCCAGGGGGCCTAAATGCAATACCAACCCAGGTCTTCATATAAGCTTGCTATACGCAAAGTTTGATAACAATATCTCACTCCTAACTCTAGTTATTGTCCGGAAACCATTTTTCTATTTTTAGTAACGGTGACCTTGACCTTGACCCCAGGGGGTCCAAATGCAATACCAACCAGAGTTTCCACATAAGGTTGCTATATACCAAGTTTGATTACAATACCTCATTCCAAACTCTAGTTATCGTCCGGAAACTATGATGTGGACCGACCGACGGACGGACGGACCGACCAACCGACCGACCGACCGACAAGCTGACTCCTATATACCCCCCCTAAACTTCGTTTGTGGGGGTATAATTATCTTTCCTGTGATGATAATGACAATATATTAATTGTAAATCTCACCTGGAGTTTGAGACGAGCAATCAGGAAATAGGTAGGCACCATAGTTTGATTGTAGGGCAGGTGAGGCCCCTGGTTGTAAGGGGTAAAACCAATCACCAACTTGAAGGAAAGCTGCTGGTCTTTCGGAATTTGAAGCCCCTTGCTCCTGTTCTATAAACTTGAAAATTTTAAGACTGGTTGGGTACGATGGAGCACTAACATAACCCTCTGGTGTAATATAAAATATCTGAACCCCATCAGGGATACAAAAAATTTCAGCAGCATTAGCTGTTAAACTGTTGTCAGAAATAGAATTTTCCCTCATTATACTGTTTCCTAATTCTACAAAGTCAGCATTTTGTGTGGATCTTGTTGACTCTTCATAACTTGGAGGTTCTTCAACGTTCATAGCCTCTGGAGCAGATGGTGTTGCTATTTCTGATGCTCTTAAAGCCTGTAACCTATATTCTATTTGCAATTTTGTCTTATTTAACTTCTGTTGTAAAGTTTTAGCTTGATTTTTGTCATCTTCATTTCCAATGATTTGTTCACAGTTAATGTCCAACACTTTAGCTACAGACTGTAAACCACTTTGGTAAAAAGCTCTAGCATCTTCTAGTTTTCCTTCTTCATCAGCTGTCAGACCTAACTCTATCAGTTTATAGGCATCATCATGACACTGCTGAATATCATGTTCGCTCCGTATTCCAGTTGCAGCATTTGGAGGTGGTGGTCTTCTTGGCTGTGTCCTTGGTGACCTTGACCTTGCACCACCTGACCTTCCATCTGAAGATCTAACTTGAGCTGGTGCTTCCATCTCTCTATATCTGAATAATATATAATAATATATATAATGTAAAATACATAAATATACGTAAGATTTTTATTATTGCTGATGAAAATTATGAAAAATAGCACAGACAGTTGAGTTCAGACCAATACCTGTCCTTGATCAGGCATTTTTCATTCTCTGTTACTTCTATTATTTTTAAATGAGTGGGGCATCATTGGTCGGAGTGTAAGTCATAAACTTGGCTTGATTCAATTTCCCAATGAATTTTAAAAAATCCTATTTATTAATACCGTCATGTCTCATTAAAGTAAAGATTGCAGTCACTTAAAAACATAAACACTGATCCTCTGTATCTATCAAAGGGAATTAAATCATTTTAATAAATTCACACTTATTTTATTTTCCAGTGTCAATCGTCAGAATAATGGATTATCTTTCAGTTGGAATAAAAACAAGTTAATTGAAATTATTAAGATACCATAATCTAAATATTAATAATATTGAAGTCAAAGAAGATTTTGCATCTTGTCCACTGTAATAGTTTCTGTGGCACTCATAAGTGCGCTTATTGAGCCAGAACAGGGCCAGCTACTGTGTGTAGCGTGCTTCCCGGCTGAGAAAGCAAAACGTTATTGCAAACATGAAGCCAGAAACTCTTGTAGCATTGTTTGGACAAAAATGTGTGTTCAGTCTTCAATCTAAAGTTATTTTACTGAATGAGACTTTATAGTAACTGGGATTTTCGTTCTGACATTTGGAAATGGTTTTAAATAAGATGGATGATCTGTCTGTGTTTGAATGTTTCTTGGGTTTTTATTGACAATTGATAGGGATGGATCAAGTGGGGTGCTGGGTATGACCCCCTACTGTCTGTATTCTAAAGTAGGCATGTCCACTTGCTAGCCCAATCTAGAATAAAAGAAATCTAGAAACCAATAATAAAAAAAAGGAAAAATATCAACTTCCAAGAGCATTGTAGAAAAATGAGACGCTACATAGAAAAGGTTTATCATTGTAAATCAAAATCATGAGAATGTTACATAGGCAAAATAATTTCAGTATCTGAGTAGAGTATCTCAGAGTCACATGTAAGTTGATAGTCCCAATTAACCACGGGTAGTACGTGACACATGTTAAACACAAACTTACATAGCTTGTCATCCAACTGTTATTCTTATCTTATGATGTCGAGCAAGAAATTCTTGATACACCTTTACAATAAAGTATTTATTACATGTATTTCGAAAGTGTGGTATGATGTTGAGTCAAACCCGGAAGTAAACAATATTATTACTAAATTTGGATAGTTTTGTGTTTTCCATTGCTTCATACTGTGAAAGATATTGCGGACTGTGTAAAAGTCACATGATAACAAAATGGCAGACGGACATTAAGTTTGACAGGAGGTGGTAAACAGAACGACACCTTTGTTTAAGATCAGTTTTTGACTTTTGTGTTAAACTTAAAATAATAAAAATGGATTTCGTTGCACATTGGAAAAATTGGATTCGTCCACTGGCAATTTTTATCTACTTTATATTAATGATGATTGCAATTCCAGTTTGTATTGTAGAAGTAACAAACCATCAAAAAGACAAGCATGTGAAGGCATGGTTTGCTGGAGGCGTATTTACACTTATGGCTGTTCCAATCTCTTTATGGGAAATAATTCTGCATGTTATTAACTATACACAACCACATCTGCAGAAGTATATTATAAGGTGATAATTTGTTTGCATTTCTTACCTTATACAGATTATAATAGGGAAATCTAATTCAAATTTATTAAACTGTATTATGTTGATATTTGTCATAATTTAAGGCAATGAAATGTTAAAATATTTCATTATATTGTATGTAATGACATTTACCAGAGTTATTTACCTGTTTTTTTAATTTTTACAGCAGAATAAAGGCTGTTTTCCCTAAGTCCAAAATAGGTATATTTTCCCCTAAAAATGCACTGTGCACATTCTTTACTAGAACCATGACTTAACAGCAGCTGACTTATATCAGCTGAAAGACAGAATGCTGTCCCTATAGATAGCCTCTGCTATGTACTATGCATGTTAAATTGAATTGAAATTTCTAAAAAATGTGCGGGTAAATTCCATTCTCAGTTGTTGGGATTTGATTTTCCCCTTTCGTGATTTATCACGCTATATTTTCACCTTCAGAAAGCCACAGGTTGTTTTGAAAATTGAAAAAAAAAAAGTCACTGTTTACATTCATTTAAACTTAAGATTTAAATATACCTTAAAAGATATACTTAAAAGATTTATACATTAATAGCAAAATCCAAGTGTTCTTGTTAGAAATAATCAATATAGCTCAAGTTTATGCTAATATCTTTTTTTCTTATATCTCTATGGTGAAAAAACAGAAGAAAAAAAACATACAGTCTTGAATCCATCTTGCAACAAACTATATCCTTGCAACAAACTATATCCTGTCTTCTTATGTTATCATGGGGTTTTATATCATACAGACAGTTATAAAGGATAGACATGTAAAAGATATACTTTCAAAATAATATGGCAATACTGTACAAACAATCAAATGCAAGAATGCAAATAAATATCAGAATGGTGACAGACAAAAAAAATCTATAATATATTTCAGAATCATTTGGATGGTGCCTATCTATGCAGTAAATGCTGTAAGTATATATTTCTTTTCATTTATTTTTTGTATGTCAGAAGAATGGCATGATGAATTGATTACTTATGTATATATTTTGTTGTAAATTATCAGGATAACTTTTGCAAAAATAATAATGTATAATTTTATGCTTCTCATTACCTTCAAAATACAGTGTAAAGTCAAAGTTGTAAATACATCTCTTTTGTAGCAGGAGCATTACAGAGGTAATAAGAACCATGTGGATTGCTTGTTAAAACTAAATAAAAAAACAACCACTAGCAAAGCTCTCTTCAAAGGAAAACATCAAAATTATTCAGTCTTGTCTGGAAATATCTTTTCCTTTAAACTAAATGATATCAGTGTGTAAGTGACTAGATGAAATAAATCAGAATTTGTACACAATAAGCATAATTAAATGACTGTCTTAATATTGAAACATTCTTTTGTAGTGGTTTGCCCTGAGATTTAAAGACTCTGCTATTTATCTGGACACAATTCGGGAATGCTATGAAGCCTATGTCATCTATAACTTTATGGCATATTTACTGAGTTATCTTTGGACACAACACCCGCAACTTGAAATTGCTTTAAGTAGGAAAAGGCAACAGAAACACTTGATTCCATTCTGCTGTCTTCCAGTGTGGCCTATGGGAAGGTAAGAATAATTCTTAAGAAATTGCTGATTCCCTTTGGTTAATTATATTATATTGGTAATATTTTTTATACTCCCAAAGGGTAAGCATATAGTCGTAGCTTTGTCCGTTGGTCCGTCCATCAGCTATTCTTGTCCGGGACATAACTCTGAAACAACAAGAGGTATCAACTTGAAACATTGTAGGTAGATAGATCTCAATGGGAAGATGTGCAGTGCACAAGAACAATAACTCTGCATTGCCTAATTGTGGAGTTTTTTACCCTTTGTCTGGACATAACTCTAAAACTGTAAGAGATATCATTATGTAACTTTGTATGTAGATATAAAGGACTCATTAAATTAAAAGTGCAATGCAAAAGAATTGTAACTCTGCCTTGTCTAATTTTGGAGTCATACCCCTTTGTTTATGTTTTCTGGAAAAAAGGAATGAGTGAATGATCAGAAATTTTTCACACAAGTTATTGGTCAAGACCTACATCAAATTATTCATTAATGTGGAAAAAATATTTCCAGTTCCAGCATGTCAAAAAACATCAGTGGAGTCCTTTTAAAATTGTATTACCATTTTCTCAACTTAAAAAATAATTTGGCTCACATGAAGGCATGCAGCTTTAATGTACATGTATTGATTAATACCTATTTAATATCGGACAACAGTCTGTGGTAAAATCAATTTAATTTCTTTTCACATACCTACATATTTTACCCTATTTTTTTAAACCAAAGTCATGTATGTTAATGAGATTTAATGAATAAGGAATACTGTAAATGTGTATCTTAATAATGTGTCATTTTGTATTTCAGTTCCATGATTCAAAATTGTAAACATGGTGTTCTTCAGTACACAATTGTAAGACCTGTCACTACAGTGATAGCATTGTAAGTAAATAAAATGAGCTGCGCCATGACAAAACCAACATAGTGCGCTTGTGACCAGCATAGATCCAGACCAGCCTGCGATTCCGCATAGTCTGATCAGGATCCATGCTGTTCCTATTAGTTATTCTACTTGTATTGGATTTGTAACCGAACAGCATGGATCCTGATCAGACTGTGCGGATGCGCAGGCTGGTCTGGATCCATGCTGGTCGCAAACTCACTATGTTGGTTTTGTCATGGCATAGCTCATATGTACACATAACAAATCTTAAAAGGTATTTAGTGTGCATGTACAACATTGTGTCACATCGGTGTGACAGTGCACCCAGGCTGTTGTTATCTTACACAATATTTGAATAATGATCACTGGCATCATCATTTTGCAACATTAACTTTTCAGGCCACATCACATTTATTGGGCATGTTGTTTGTTAAATTTGTGTTTGTTATGAAATTAGATAAATGGAATATCATATCATGTGTCTCAACTGTATCATTTGAAAATGCCAGCATGATAGGGTCAATATTGAGTCACATATAAGACCATTTATACAGCACATTCTTGTTTAGTTATGATGATCTGAATTGTAAAACTTTCTTGACAAAACAATAAATTACAAGGCATGCATTTTAGAATTTGGTTTGAAATTTTAAGCAATTGCCAACTATAGTTTCATTTGAGCCACAAGAATAAATATTACCTTGACATGAACTAAATTCACCATGTCTTGGACATCTTCCTTGTTTGTTTTATTTTTTAGGGAAATTAAATAGGGAAAAACGGAATCCCTAAAGAATGGTCAAAACAACAATATTGAAAATGTTGCAGTTTCTGTTTAATAAAGCCATGAAAATAACTGATTAACAGGAGTATTCAAGATTATTTTTAACTGCCAATAAAGAGCCATACTGCATACTACCTCTTAATACATATGATAAGTAATATTCTGTTATGTAAAATGTATTTCACTCTTTCAGGATTTGTCAGCTGAATGACAAATATGATGAAGGTGATTTTAATTTCAAGAGCGGCTGGTCATATCTTGTGATTATCAACAATATCTCTCAAATTGTGAGTTCTGTTTACAGATTCTTTATTTGTATACGCGCCAGTAATCATGAAGTGAAAAGGTATAATTTTAGATGAAGAAAAAAAAATTCAGGTTAATTCACTTTGTACATGTATATGGTTTTCTTAATAACTTGTTTGTATCCCCATTCAAGTTCCCTGTAATACTGCTGGAAGATTGGTCACTTTTGGTGTAAACAATATTTATTTTCAATAAATTGCTTACATAATGTATCATACAAAGTACACATGAATATTTACAGACAGATTCAACATTAAAACAAAAATACAATGTTGGGCACTTTATACTGACTGTTTTAATTTTGATTTAGAAATACCTTGTATGAACAATAGTTAATTCCAAAAGCAGGCCAAGTCAATTAATCAGATTTAGGAAGGTAATGAATAGTTATCAGTGTATGATAACAAGTAGAAAAACTTAAAGTTTATCTCTAAATCTATAATAATCTCAGATTTTGCTGTGTTCAAACAAAAGATAGGCATGTAGGAGTGAACCAACACACATTGATTTGACATAAACTATCCTAATCTTGTTATTCATGCAATATAATATCCATATACTCAAAAACAAATAGAAATGGAAAAAAGTGATGTTCTGTTTATTTTGCTATACAATGTAACAAAAAATCAATTTTTTTTTCTCATTTTTTTTTTATATATGGATATTATATTGCATGAATAATAAGATAAATCATATAAAAGGTGATAAATCAGTGTGACTAGCAACTTTGAACCAAGATTGAAGTTTGATATTACAATATTTAGAATGATAGACTTGATAGGTGTGAGTGTACTATCATTCTAGCTGATAGGCTTATAAAACCTGCATGAATAATTATGTAAGTTAAAAGTCACATTGAAAATGGATTTAAATGGTACTTTTCTGTAACTTTAACAATTTTACAAACTTTTTACTTTTAGAAAAAAGGTCTTATTCCTGATTATACACCATGTATTCCAAATACACTGTACATGTGTATATATTTGATCATATTTCTTATAACTATTAATATACTTCTCCTTGAAGGAACCATGCCCAAACTAATATCTCACTTATCCGATTATGTACTTATTTGATGATTTAGCACCATTTATGAACAAATTGACCTAAATGTTATTGTCTTTGATCATTGCCGGTAACTTTGATGGATATGTGTACTTTAAATTAAAGATGCAGAACTCAAAATACTAGTAAAATAAGTCAGTGAAAGTAGGTTCTTTTCATTCATCAAGAAATCATGGAAATATTAAATATCGTGGTAACCAAGGAAACCATACTAAATATGTTATAACTACATTCATGTTCTTTCATTTTGTTTCAGTGGGCTATGTACTGTCTGGTGTTATTTTATCAAGCTACAAAAGATATGCTGGCACCCATTAAGCCTATACCAAAGTTTCTGTGTGTAAAGTTTGTGGTTTTCTTCTCATTTTGGTAAGTGTTTATGAATTCAATCATTTCTTTATATTATATCTAAACACATATAACAGCAGTGTACATCCCTGTCAAACTATGTCCTTGTTAAGAGAATAGAGCCAAGATTGTGTGCCTATTTTGTCTGTTACACCAATTAAGGAGTTCGAAATTTAATGTTTTGTACTAGTTTACCTGTATTTGGTGTTGTTATCATCAGATGAAGATTCTTCATTTATATATTTTCTTTTTGTTAAACTTTTCATGTGCAAAATATGTGTAAATAATGTGACCTCCCTTGGATGTAGAGCTGATGATTGATAATTCAATATGGTTGTCAAGATAAAATTTAACTACCCATAATGTTACTTCATGTTAAAATGCAAAATAATTCAACAAACACACATTGAGCATATTGGAGACTGCAGACTTTTGAAGTACAATGTATTTGTTTAGCAAATAATTTTCTGGCTGATATTTTTTTCTCTTTTGATTTTTTAGGCAAGCTGTGGTAATTGCAGCCTTTGCCAAGTTTGACTTGATACCATCGACAGAGTTTTATGATCGTAATGTTAAAGATGTTGCTACAGCTCTTCAGGTGGGTTTGTTTAAATGTATATATACTGGGTTGTATTTATTACAATTGAATTCTACTCTGCAGAAACTAAAAGTGATTAGCTTTTGTTACCAGTATAGAGCCTGGCTAGCATGCACACCCGTGCAGTCTGACCGAGCTCTTAACTGTTTGCCTACTAACTTTAGTTTTAAAAAACAATGTTGTTGATTTCAATCAACTTCACAGTATATATACAAATAGTACCAGATACAGGCACGAAAATGCTGACCTTATAAAATCCTATTCCTAATAGATTTACAATGCATAAAATATGACAGTATACATGAATTTTTTTGAAATGTATATGAATTCACATCCTCATTTTTTAAGTAATTAAAGTCAAGATTGTTTCTTACATTCAGTTGTAATCTAGAGCAAAAGTATTAACAAAGAGAAGAAGAATTGATAATACAAGACCACATCTAACTAAGTTTAGGATATGTTGAGTATATGTACGGAGGTATTTCTGGTTGCCTTTCATTATGTGATATAATGTTGGTGTTTATATATTTCAGAATTTCAGTATTTTAAGTGTTTCTTGCTGCCTTTCATTATGTGATATAATGTTGATGTTTATATATTTCAGAATTTCAGTATTTTAAGTGTTTCTTGTTTTCTTTCATTATGTGATATGATGTTGGTGTTTATATATTTCAGAATTTCAGTATTTTAAGTGTTTCTTGTTTTCTTTCATTATGTGATATAATGGTGATGTTTATATATTTCAGAATTTCAATATTTTAAGTGTTTCTTGTTTTCTTTCATTATGTGATATAATGTTGATGTTTATATATTTCAGAATTTCAGTATTTTAAGTGTTTCTTGTTTTCTTTCATTATGTGATATGATGTTGGTGTTTATATATTTTAGAATTTCAGTATTTTAAGTGTTTCTTGCTGACTTTCATTATGTGATATTATGTGATATGATGCATTTCAGGATTTCTGTATTTGAAGTGTTTCTAGCTGTCTTTCATTATGTGATATGATGTTGGTGTTTATTATTTTAGAATTGTATTTGAAGTGTTTCTTGCTGTCTTTCATTATGTGATATGATGTTCGTGTTTATATATTTCAGGATTTCTGTATTTGAAGTGTTTCTTGCTGCCTTTCATTATGTGATATAATGGTGATGTTTATATATTTCAGGATTTCTGTATTTGTATTGAGATGTTTCTCGCTGCTGTCATGCATTATTTTGCCTTCTCTCATAAACCTTTCATTGACCCAAATGCAGGCCAAGGTATGTTACATCTTTAGTGTTGATGCAATATTTCTTTTTATGTGATATTTTGTTGTCCTATCCTATAATCAAACTAGCAGTAAAAATGCTGTAAATGTTATAAGAGATCCGTTACTTTTGCATTAACTCTAGAAGCCTGCTCATTTGGTTTTCTTCCACTACAATCTAGACATTAATTGTTGATGAGACTTAGCCCAATCCAGTCCAACCAAACCAATTTTTGTCATTTATTATAAAAATAGAAAAACATATATGAAAAGTTTAAATCTTACTTTAAGTCAAAGAAGCTGTATATGGTTTAGTGAGTTTTGTAAATATGTTATGCATGAAGAAATGGGATATCATTATGAATATTTAGCTCAACTATTCAAAGAAAAGGAAGAGCTAATGTAATCACACTGGTGTTGGCATTGGTCTCAGTGTCTCCGTCACATTTTGGTTAAGTTTTTGCGTGCAAATTTGTAACTCCAAAACTACTGAAAGGAATAGATTGAAGCTCAACAAACTTATAAATTTGAGATCATAATAGGTCGCTATTCAAGGCCCATAACTGATGATAACTCTAACATAAATTTTGGCAGAGTTATGGCTCTTTTTGAACTTAATAAATTTTACATTAAATTCTGAATTCTACTTTTGTTTTACTATCAAGCACTGAGAATAGTCAAATATGCTGTCCTATCGACAACTCTTGTAAGATTCAATATTTAATGAGATGTATGAAAAATTTGTTTCAGTTTTATTCAGTTTTATTATTTTCAATACTACTCCAACCCTCTCATAGGTAACTGTTGTCGATCATTTGCATCAATGTGGGATGTGTCAGATGTAAAAGATGATGTTGTAGAACATGTCAAGGTCATCTCCACGACAATGAAGAAAACAGTGAGTGGTCAGTTACGATCTAGAGCAGACGACACTGAAGGTACTCCTTTACTACAGGTGGCTTCTGAAGATCATCATGTTGTTGGTTACACATCATCTATACAGGTACTTTAATTAAGATTTTTTAATGTGTGAGAATATTATAGAATATCTCTTGGGGAGAGTAGTTATAAATATAATACAAAGGTTGTTTGTAAAGTTTGTTTAAAGGGGTTTAAAAGCCTAAAAACATAATATTTGAATTTCTTACATAAATGACCTGGGGCACTTTAAACAGAAATATATGTAAAGATAGTTTAGAAATATATTTTGAAATAAATTGAAAATCTTTTTTGATGCTTTTCTTAGCCCGATTTGAGTGAAAAGTGTTTAAACGCTTTGCAATTTAGGTCATTTTTTTACAATTTGAATAATTATTCTGGAAAAACAAAGTGCACGAATGATCTGAAATTTTGCACAAAGATTAGTGGTCTAAACCTACATCAAATGGTACATTTATCTGGAAAAAATATTTCCAGTCCCATCATGTCAATAAACCTCAGTGGAGTCCCTTTAATTTCTTTATAATTTAATGCTCAAGTTTAATAACTGGAACTTATAAATGAATGAAACATACATTCCACATTATTTATATTTAATATTTAAATTTAGTGTGATATATACGCTCAGACTATATTTATACAATGAAAACAAATGTGCTTGTAACCCCGTTCTCAGATCATAGTGTCAGTACAAAAATGATGCCGCTCAAACATCATGAAAGTCCAGCGACTGTGGCACTTTCTTTTTGTAGTCACCCGCAAGATTATTTTACTTCCTTTCTCTGCTTATCTAATTTTCAAATGTTTCAACAAACCTGTCCTTGTGAATTGAGGATATTGTATGTTTTGAAAGTTTCAAAGCTCAATCAAAGTTAATCCCTTTAATGCCTCTTTAAGCTCCGTACAAACTCTTTGGGTCCGTGAGAACTAGGTCCAGACTGTATTGTGGGTGATCAATAACCACAAACCCAACTGACTTACCTCAGTCTGTATTGGAAATTATTTATTGAAAAACAAATACTCAAAATAAAAGCGACTCCACTGAGGTTTAAAAGCCTAAGAACATAAATATTGAATTTTCGAACATAAATGAGCTGAGGCACTTTAAACTGAAATATATGCAAAGATAGTCAAGAAATATACTTCGAAATAAATTGAAAATCGTATTTTTATGCTTTTCTTAGCTTGATTTGTGTGAAAGGCGTTTAAACTCTTTTCATTTTTTGTCAAATTTTACAATTTGAATAATTTTTCTGGAAAAACAGAGTGCGCGAATGATCTGAAATTTTGCACAAAGATTAGTGGTCTAAACCTACATCAAATGGGACATTTATCTGGAAAAATATTTTCAATTCCATCATTTAAAAAACCCTATATCAATATAGCGTTACAACTTACATACTCCATCAATGAGATTTAAATGTAGGTTAACTTTTCTATTGAAGACAATTAATAAAAACATCAATGCAACGATATATGTGTCAGGAATATAGATTGGTATTCTATATCCCTGGATATATTCAGCTGTCATTTGGTTGCTACAGTTAATACTAGCATCTACCTACCTAAAAATATGCACACAGCTGAATTCTGCATTTTTTCTTTTATTTGTATATATATGTATATATATCTTTAGACAACCCAAGCAGAAATCAACCAGTCAGGTTACCAGTATCAGCCGGATGCTTTAAGCAGAACTTCAGAGTGGGATGACACGATATCAGTCGACAGGTGGCAGTCACCGAATAAAAAACAAGGCACTAAGTCTATAGCATCAAGTATGCAGAACTACCTTGATCTTTCTACTAGTGTAGATAACCAGTCTATGCAGTCACAAGTTAATGAGCATCCAGAGGACCAAGAATCATTGAGAGTCAAGCACTTGAGTGACTCTGAACAAACAGAAGGAAGAAAGCTGTCTGATTCTGTATTTGTAGAAAGTGATACTCTTGTAAATGATTCAAATGTGGAACCAAACTCGGAGTTAGAAAGCAATACAGTTAAAGATGGAGTTCAGAAAGACACAGAAGAGTCTCTTATAGACTTTAGTGATGACAAGAGTCAAAGTGATGAAGGCAAAAGATAGCATATAAGCAATCAGTGAACATTGCAAGCAAAACATATCTGTGATTCATTATTTTCCACCCGTGTATTGGTTTCTTCAATCTTGGTACAATTATTTTCATTCCAGTTGTTGATACTGTCACAAGTCTGTCACAAATATAGTAAAATGGCATTATATAAAATTAATTGACATCAAAGTGTTAAAATCCTTGTCTATGTCCATACATATGAAATTATTTTTATAAGTTTTATTCCAAATTTTACTTTTACTATAAAAAAGTGGTCAAATGTGTTTAACTTTTCTAAATTCATCACATACATATATTTTGCCATACTCCCCAAAAAGTGTTTATTTGTAAAATTTTACTTATGATCCTTGAAGGATGAGACACAATATTCTAGGTCCTTGATGGTTATTGAAGTTGAAAAAATTTGCTGCACAATTATGCGTAAAGGCCCCTTCTGCCCAAGAAATACTTTTATTTTATTACTCAAAAGCTTCTTATTTTTGGTGTCAATCAATATTTTTGTACCATCTTTTGCCTTTTGGCAATTTGTATAGTTTTAGTGATTAAGCAATTTGATTGGAAGTAAAAATACTGCTTTGTTTACAGTTTGCTACTTTTATGAAAAAAGCTTCACGTTCAGCGCAACTTTATTCAGGTAATTAGAATCATTATTAAACCATTTTAAAGTTCATGTTTGCCTTTTCTAAAGAAAGGAACTTTATTAATTTATGTGGCATATTCTGTCTTGAAAATCATGCGTCACTGAAACTGGTATCAAATATGTAATCAGATAATTGGTCAAAAATGGCCTTTGAAATGTATGATTTATACATGTACATGTAAGTAGAAATTTAAGGGATATTGGTTCTATAAATGTACAAAAAATGTATGTTGTACCGGTATATATAAGTGTACAATGTATGTCACTTGATGGTGACAAGAAGATAATTAATCATAAAAACCTAGTGCAATTGATCATGAAAGGTAAACATGTGTATATTCAGGGAAAAACCGGTATGAAAATGTATAAAGCGAGTTTAGCAAAAGATAGTAAAAATTGTAATAATGACTTAATTCCCACCACATCATTTTTTTCCATTTAGTGAAATTCTGCTGATGATTAAATGTAGCGTCAGTTACATGACTTGAGTTGGGCATTTTTATGAAGATTTAAATGTACATAACTAAAATTTTTGTATACTATACATTTACATCAAGCAAGACAGGAACACTCTTGTTTCCTGCCAAAATTAGCTTCTAAGGAAGGACATTTTTATTTGGTTCATATGTTCCATGTACTCTCAAATACATTTAATCTGTGCATTTAAAAACAGAATATTATCATAAAAAATATATTTTGTCCATTTTTTTTCTTCATTTTTTTGCTCGATAAATAGAGAGTTAATTCTTACAATCTTTATAAGGGCATTCAATTATTTTTAACTTCATACCTGGTATATTGTGAATGAGATTAGATTATGTTTCAGATGTAATAAAAATGTGACATGCTGTTCTTTATTTGGTCTGTGTTCTGTTACCTATTAAACTTCATTGTTTGCTCATTACAATTCGACTGCGCGGATGCGCAGGCTGGTCTGGATCCATGCTGGTCGCAAACGCACTATGTTGGTTTTATCGTGACACGGCTCAATTCATTAACATAAAAAGTTCCAGGTAAAATAAACAATATTGTGTGTATGTTTACAGAAGTTTCAATTTTGATTTATTTACTATGATGTCATGCTATCTTTTTTATAATATTAGGCAATGCTGGACATTAGGCAATACTGTCATTATGCTGATATACTAATTTATTTTTTACCTTTTATTTGCTATGGTTCTTACAAGGTAATACTCCTTTATATGTGTGAAAGTTTTGATATATAAACTATATCACAAATTTACAAATATACATCTTATTGACAAGAGGAACTTATTAAAAATCACAGTCCTTGAAGAAACTGTAAGCAAAAAGCGGAAGGAAAATCCAAGCTATTTCATTTGTTGAATTTCGGCATGGTATGATTTTGGTCAACTCATTCTAATTTTCTTCTCTCAGGTCTAAGCTTAAATGGTAAATTAAAGCTGTGTATCAATAATACTGATATTAGATATGAAAATCAAGCACAATAATTTGGACCATAATACAGGAAATTGAATGAAAATTACAGCAATATAACAAGAGTTATAATGATCAATCTATCTATCATGTAAAAGAAATATTGCACTTATGTTAAAAAAGCTAATTTAAGAAAACTGTTGATGTGAATTATGTCTGAAATAAAATTTTATTCAATTAATTAGTTTCAGAAATATTTGATTTTTTTCAAAGGTTATTGGGAAATCATTAAAAAAAAACATTTTGATAATTTATGTTCCAAGTTTCTTAGCTTCAATGCATAGCAAAGAATTATGTTTTCAATTGAATGATAGCTTACAATTTGTATATGTTTATAAAATAAATTTTAAAACTACATTTTTTGCTTCTTTATATGCTTTTTATTATATTGACTACAGTAAAAACCCTCAATTATGACCACCATCAGGACTGGACCAAAGTGGTCTTAATTGTGGGGTGGTCTTAATTGTGAATATTCTTATCAATGCCTACACACTTTTTGACCATGGTCTATTTTAGTTATTTTTATGAACAAACAATATATATCTACAAATACAACATAAAACTATGTTATAAATTAACATCTGATGGGAAGAAAGAACTTTAATATCAAATTCTATTTTGTATGATTTCAATATCAATTTCAATATAATTATTATATGATGTACATAATTTACCCATCAAATAAAAAATTAGTTCTTCGCATAATCAATGTGTTTAAAGCAAGATTAGACCACTCTAAAATTTATATTCTCACCTTATTTCATACAATATCCCAATGATATGAGGTGTTTTTGACACCTTGTGAAATAAGGTGTCATGCCTTAGAGCATTCAAGCTGATACTACCAACAAATTTAAGATCTAGGTAGGTGTTGACTTTAAATCAGTGGTCTCAATAGTGGGGTCAAATAAAGAACAAAACAAAGAATTGGGACTGAATCTGGTGGTCTTAAAAGTGGATAAGTAGGGTGGTCTTAATTCTGGATCATGTAACCATTGACATATAGAACATAAAATTCCGTACTTTTAAAAAATGGTCTCAATAGGGGGGTGGTCTTAATTCCGGGGTGGTCTTAAGTAGGGATTCTACTGTATTTTAAGGATGGGGAGAGCTGTTGAATTCTGCATTGACACAGGCGTCAGGGATGATTTTGCATGATAATTGGTATATCAAAAACAACTGAAGGGATCAAAGGGTCTAGTGTGCTTACATATACTCTTGTTTTTAAAGAGCCATTCACTCATTATTATCTTTTTTTTTTAAAGTTTGCATATGAGTCCAGATAATTCTTTCACTACCTTGTCCTAAACTGCCTTTTATTATTGTCCTAATAAGTCTATCACTGCCTAGTCCTAATAAGTCTATCACTACCTAGTTCTAATAAGTCTTAACTACTTAGTTCTAATAAATCTTCACTACCTAGTTCTAATAAGTCTTCACTGCCTAGTCCTAATAAGTCTATCACTGCCTAGTTCTAATAAGTCTTCACTGCCTAGTCCTAATAAGTCTACCACTACCTAGTTCTAATAAGTCTATCACTACTTAGTCCTAATAAGTCTTAACTACTTAGTCCTAATAAGTCTTAACTGCTTAGTTCTAATAAGTCTTCACTGCCTAGTTCTAATAAGTCTATCACTGCCTAGTGCTAATAAGTCTTAACTACTTAGTTCTAATAAATCTTCACTACCTAGTTCTAATAAGTCTTCACTGCCTAGTCCTAATAAGTCTATCACTGCCTAGTTCTAATAAGTCTATCACTGCCTAGTTCTAATAAGTCTTCACTGCCTAGTTCTTATAAGTCTATCACTATTTAGTCCTCATAAGTCTTAACTGCTTAGTTCTAATAAGTCGTCACTACCTAGTTCTAATAAGTCTTCACTGCCTAGTCCTAATAAGTCTATCACTGCCTAGTTCTAATAAGTCTTCACTGCCTAATTCTAATATGTCTATCTCTGCCTAGTCCTAATAAGTCTATCACTGCCTAGTGCTAATAAGTCTCCAATGCCTAATTCTAATATGTCTATCTCTGCCTAGTCCTAATAAGTCTATCACTGCCTAGTTCTTATAAGTCTTCACTACCTAGTCCTAATAAGTCTTCACTGCCTAGTTCTAAAAAGTCTATCACTGCCTAGTTCTAATAAGTCTATCACTGCCTAGTGCTAATAAGTCTCCAATGCCTAATTCTAATATGTCTATCTCTGCCTAGTCCTAATAAGTCTATCACTGCCTAGTTCTTATAAGTCTTCACTACCTAGTTCTAATAAGTCTTCACTGCCTAATCCTAATAAGTTTATCACTACCTAGTCCTAATAAGTCTATCACTACTTAGTCCTAATGAGTCATCAACTGCTTAGTTCTTATAAGTCTTCACTACCTAGTTCTAATAAGTCTTCACTGCCTAGTCCTTATAAGTCTATCACTACCTAGGTCTAATAAGTCTATCACTACTTAGTTCTAATAAGTCTTATCACTACCTAGTTCTAATAAATCTATCACCCCATAGTTCTAATAAGTCTTATCACTACCTAGTTCTAATAAATCTTCACTGCCTAGTCCTAATAAGTCTATCACTGCCTAGTCCTAATTAGTCTATCACCCCATAGTTCTAATAAGTCTTCACTGCCTAGTCCTAATAAGTCTTTCACTGCCTAGTTCTAATAAGTCTATAATTACTACTTAGTCCTAAAAAGTTTTCACTGCCTAGTCCTAATAAGTCTTCACTGCCTAGGCCTAAAAATATATCTATGCCTAGTCCTAATCAGTCTATCAATGCCTAGTAATAAATCTTTCACTACCTAGTCAAGTTTTTCACTGCCTAGTCCTAATAGTCTATCACTGCCTAGTCCTAATAAGTCTATCACTGCCTCGTCCTAATAAGTCTAATAATAGTTCTTGTAAGTCTTTCACTGCCTAGTCCTAAACATGCCTTTCATTGTTGTCCTAATTAGTCTTACTGCCTAGTCAAGACTTTCACTGCCAAGACAAGTCTTTCACTGCATAGTCCTTTATAAGCCTTCATTGCATAGTCCAAAAAGGTCTAACATGGATTTTGACGGAATATTAGTCCTTTGTGAACATGTATTCTGGATCATAATTGCAATTTGCTGCTGACTGTTTTTTTAAGACTAACTT